AACACAAGGAGGTGTTGGGAAAAGATCACATCTCTCTCTTTCTCACTGTGCTTTTTTCTCTCAGGGCTTGCGCTTAATGAGTATAGCAGTTTGTACGGTTTTATATTCTGTTCAGCCGATAGCAAAGAGACAATATTTTCTCGCTGTTTCAGGCACGCCAAATTCACTGTTACAACACAAAGTGAAATGCTTGTGTTTTCCTGTTGGTCATGAGTCCGCTATGACAAAATAACAATGACACACAGAGAAAGTCAAGTATGTCGCAAGGAAATAGTTGTATGATTGGACCCTTGATGAAAAGAGTTCCTCTTGAATGCGAAAGATGAGTTTGCAGCAACCGCAGCATTTTCAACATTTATTTTTTGTGAAGCAGCAAATGGATGTGTTGAGAACTGAACAGAGATTATATTTTCACCACAATTACGTTTTCAAGCAGGGACAACTAAGCAACACCCCAAGGTCTGCGCAGCCCACAGTTTGAGAAACCATGGCTCTTTAAATTGCACTACCTTGTCTTTAAAATGTAGAGAGCCTGGGGATTGAGCTCTATAATTTATACCCTTGAATAATCCTTGAGTTTGTATAAGGAAGACAAAGTTTTATTACAACTTTGGTTGCCATTTTTGTAGTTTTGCACAAAGGAGAAAGGTCTGCTCACTGTTAGGGTCCAAATAAATAGATTATTTTCTGTTGAAGGCTACTTTTTTATCTACAAGATCTACCTCAAGCAAGTTTTAAAGAAAAAAGTAATTTCTTTCATCATTTTCACCTGCTAGTCAGCAAGGGGAAATAAATGAAAAATCACATGGTGTTGGCAGTCCTTTAGAAAAAGAAATACCAGAATATGTTTTTAAAAATACAGTGTTAGTATGACAGCACCTGAAAACACATGGTCATTTTGCGAGAACATGTATAAGTAACATTCATGCTACTTATCCCAGCAGACGCAGTAGAGCGAGAGAGAGTTGTTGGGCAGATGGGCTGTACAGCGGCAGAAACAGTAATGATGTCATGGAAAGGACGGAAAGTTTTGAACATTTGTCTTAATTCGGGAGAGATGTACATGTAAATGCTCTGTATAGCCTGACCACTCATCACTACATCTACATTCATACACTGGTGGAACAGCCGGGGTTCGGTATGTTGCCAAAGGACACTTCAACATGCAGCCTGGAGGAGCCAGGGATTGAACTGCCGACCTTCCGGTTAACAGGCAACCCGCTCTACCTCCTGAGCCCCAGCTGCCCCGCCTAGATGTGACACCAGGAGTAAACCGGGAGAGGGCAATGAAGTAGTAGGAGCTAACCGCGCCTAACCGGAGCTAACCTCTGTGGCTTGTTTACCTCTGCACAACAGCGGGCTGCTGCGTGTGGCGTCGTTTTATTATTCTGCACATGCGGGTCACTTTCAGGCCTTGGACAGTGTAGGTACCAAATCTGTGCTGCCTGCCAGATCCGTTCTGCACGTGCGCAAAAGCGGTTAGTCAAAGAAGATCACTGAAAATCTGCCTATTCAAAATAATCCAACTAAATCTTTCAAGTAAAGAAAACCAAATGTTTGTAATCACTGGAGATTAAACTGTTCACTATGATGTAATAGGATTATACTTAAGATATGAAAAACCTTATTCAGCGGTACATTTCTTATTTCTAATAATGACAACAATTTAACAAAGTAGCAACACAAAGGAGGCTAACCCTAGCTGCTATTACGGATAACGTGCAAAGCTGTAGGGTTAGCTAGTCGCCATGCATACAATCGCTGACTTAGGGTTAGGAACACCCCCCTGTGATGGTTAGGGTAAGGGTGAGACGCCCTGTCTAGACCGAAAGCGCTATTGCTAGCTAGGTAGCTAGCTACGTTAGTATATAAGCCGTTGACAGCTTCCCAAAGTAGGGCTGCAGCTAACGACAATTTTGATAGTCAATTAATCTCTCGCCCGCGACCCTGTATGCAGGATAAGCAGTTGACAATGGATGGATGGATGGAATTAATCTATCGATTATTGAAACAAATAATTGACTATTCGGATTATGAATTACAAAATACACAATGCATCCTACTGAGCTATCAGCTTTTAAATTAAACTTGAGGTTGTTTTTGCATGGGTGTTTACAAATAATTGAGCTAACAACCGTACACATTAAATTGTGGTGGTGATTAGAGTAGTCACTACTGAACTGTTTTTACCACACAAAACACAGGAGTACTTGAATTTCTTAAGGTGCAAATTGCTATGAGTTAAGGATTCTGGTCTTGCTTTGATTCCATTTCGCATGTGCTACTGTTTTGCCCATGTTTGTTCTGTGTTCTACTGATCCTGTTTAAGTCTGTTTTTGGTTCTGTGTTTCTCTATGAAGCCTTGTTTATTATTCATTCACATGTCCTAGTTTACTCTGTATCTGGTTTCATGGTTTTGGGTTCTGTGTTTCTATAAGCTTTATTTGATCTTGTCATGTTTAGGGTTTTGTAGCAAAGTTAGTTCTTATGTTTATCTGCATGTTTTTTACCTGCTTGAGTCCCTAGTCTTAGGTTTCCATGTTTTAGTGTAATCCTGTGTCCTGTTTGGTCGGTCTCAGTCCGTGACCTGATTTTGCAGTCCCCAGCGTAAATGACACCTACGAGTAATACAAATCTGTGATTTGTGCTTAAGTCTACACAGTTTGAAATCCCACCACATTTCAGTCCTCTTTTCTCAACACACTGTATCCTACAATTACTTTACTATGGTTAAATGAGGATTGCTGACTATCATGTTTATAACAATAACAATAATACATGTTTTTTCTTCATGTTTAATGAAGCATTCATTAACAAGACATACAAGACAAAGCTGAAATCATAGCTGTGAAAGATCTACATTGAGTAAACACTCACTATACTATTAAACGGAGCAAGACTTCACTAGAGTCATGTTTGATTTGCAGAAACAAGAATCAACTTTCAAATAAATGATTACATTGCCATTTGTACAATTTCAGCCCATTTAATTTATCTTCCACAGTGTAAGTTAGTGGTTCAAAGGAATGTAGGCCTAAAATCAAAATAATTCAAACTTCAGAAAGTTTAATTTATGATGCTGATAATAACTTATGTTCTGGCCTCCTATGCAAATATGCATCAAGCTAGATTCCTGCCTTCAATCTAAACTTCTGATATCAGCTTAAACTATTCTTTAAATGCAAGTTGTGACTGTGCTCAACTTTGTTTTGAGAGAAATTAGTTGGCAGTTGTTTTCTTTCACTTTGCTTTCTTTCTTTTCTTTTTTGGTAACTTGGTTTCAACAGACATGACTGTCACAAGACACATTTATGCTCCTACATCAGAAATCAGAGTTAGAGATAAATCCCAGTGTGTGGCAGACTACACTATTTTGCTTCTATTGGAAGGGGTGAGAGGGGCCTCAGAGCCTCCACTATTTTGAAATTTCTTTGGGGGGTATGCAAAGTTCAGTCTCTCAACCGATTTGTTCGGCCAATTTTAACATCGTTATGAAACTACTTGCTTTAAAATATAACATTGCAAAAAAAACCTTTTCATTCCAGGATTCTCAAGGGCCCTCCCCCCATTGGGGCCCTGGGTAATAAATCCCAGGTAACAAAAACACTGGTGTAAGCAAACTCTCCTGAATCTGATATTGCTGAAAGCTGAACAATTGCTTGGATTCGGCCAAATGACCCGGCACTCAAAAAAAGGAATTTTAAGGTTAGAATACAATCAATCTGGTCTCTGTGGAGATAAATCAAGAGGACATGACGAGATCTGTGTCCATGAATTAATTCAATATTTGAAATAATATCCATTGAAAATTAGCTTACTCACAATGGTATAAAGTCTACACATACTTCAACATTCTTGCAAACTCATATCTGTAACATCTTTAGCGGAGCTATTCTACATCAAGTCTTAAAATGCATAAAAGTACAATGCTTGTACATGTCCGGCCTTTTGAGAGCTTCTGACATGCAGCAAAAGAGTGAAATGTGCTCAAAAAGCTTGCTATTGAAAATCCCATTATGCTAAAGAGATTTGTTAAAACCACCACCCCAGCCATCTGAAGAAGAGATATACTGCTGTAATGCTTAATTTCCATCAAAAGCCATTTGGCTTCTTCTGTCTGTTATTAACTGTACATGTATAACGGAAAAACTGGAAACACATTATGATTCATTTATTTCTCTCAGGCTTTTTGTGCTGGAAAGTAATGTAACTGTTGATAGATAGGTATAGATTGATTTTTCAATTGTTGACACGTTTCTTTTAAAGCCACACCAATCAATAATTTTATTTAAATATTGAGTCAAATAACTATGTGGCATGTGAATGGGGTTGCTGGTAATGATAATCCGTAGAGAATTATCACCCAGCTCTGCAGTTCCGCTCAGCTCTATGGATGTTAATAGCCTCTTTTAGCTCATTGTTTTGGTTTTATGGCCGGCACTCACTGTTTGGTGCTACTCCTTGTTTCTGGACACAGCAGAAGGCAAGCCATCTTGCTTGTGACCAGAAGGCAGACAGACAAAGTTAGCGATTAGGTTGTCTCGACACAGAGAATTTACGCAGCTCTCAAAAGTTGAAGACCAAAAAATAGCTAGATGGAGAGTTAATATTTGACTTACATGTCAGGACGTCAAAAACACAACTCCAAATGAATCCCAAAGTAACTCTATGTCTCTGTGTAAATTGGCAATTCTTTGCTAACATGTTAGCCATATCAGCTTTATATGGCAGTTTCTGCACCAAGTGACAAAAAACAAACAAGCAAACAGTGTTACATTCCTTTATCATTGTTGTTTGCTTTAGATTCATATGTAAATGGTGTAGCAAACATAATACATAATAACAAATTCAGTCCCGAGAACTACGTCTTGGACTCCCCCCCCCCAAAAGCTGTTCTGTTTGACCACTAAATGTTGACTCCCCAAGCATGATGTCTTGGCGCTACCTATGCCAAAAGGAACCATGAGATGATCTCTAAACAATGATATACATATAAAAGGTGTCTGTCCAAAAAAGTGCTTTATATGTAGAACACGTGAGGATATGACAAAGTTTTTTCCCTCTGATGGATTAAACCATATATAAAATAAATATTTTTTCACCTTCACAGAGATGAACAACTGGGATATAAAGTCAAATATGATCTCTCTTAACGTCTTGGAGCAATTTATACAGATGCAAGTCTAAAAGGGGAGAACGAGCAAGTTGAGATAATACATATATGTAATGCCATTATGTGGGTGCTCTACCAGGGCAAAAAAAGGCAAGCAAAACAACTTCTAGGTTCTTCTGGAGACTGCAGCTACTGTAAAGTGTCAGTATTTTGAGCCTGAAAAGGCAAAGCTGCTGAAGCGCCTCATCAGAGGCTGGTCTGAAAGAGTTTATCCGAGTCAGAAATGGGATTTGAGTTTCCAGGTATCCAGCCCAACCACTCAGGAATTGCATATTCTACAGTGCGTAATCTGAATTAATTCAAATTTGATATAAAGTTCAGTGTCCACATCCATGCAGTCTTCAGTCCACAGTTGGCAGCTGGTACTTCCTTGAATTAGAATTCTTATATGGCTTTCCCACTGTGGCACTCAGGCATGTAAAGGTTCCAGCATTTTACAGAGGTTTCACTGAGAAGCTTTAATGAGAAAAAACTACAGTTGAAAAACAATAGCAGGCCATATTTGTAGTCCAACATTAAGAACTACAAGTAGAAAATGAATAGTTGTTCATATTTAAAGCCCATCATAGCAAATTACAGTTGAGTTATAAGCCATGTTTGTGATCCAACAAAAAATGTTTGTCAGTAGTCAGCCATGTTTATATGCTGTCCTGAAACACGTCCTTGCTTCATTTTCGTTCAAGTTGGAGAGTGCTGCTGTATGCAGATCACTGAAGATATCTGGAAAAACAATAAAGACTGAAGTTAGATTCCATTTTCAAAAGTGTTAAATGATATATAAAACAGGCATGGACAAACTGTGGCAAGAAGAGTAACGCACAGCTGTACTGCAGTGCCAATACAACATAAATCTCTAAAATATACAGCTTTAATAGGAGTGTAAAACAAGGAGACATAATAGTAAGGAGTTCAATAACTGCAACATCAGCCCAGTATAATGCATAAAAAATCATAGGGACGGATAAATGGGCAATCAACACAAACAGGTGAAGAGGGCTTCTGGTAATGGGCTCCACTTAACCAATACTGAAGGTCAACTGCTAGAGCATAGAATTCTGTCCTCCAAGAAATCCTCAGAAACAGAAGAAGAAACAGATGAAAGTAACAGAAAAGAGGGGAAAGTGAGGAGTATGAAGAGATAGCATGTGAGGAATTTGTCACACACTATCAAAAAAAGAGAAGGAGAGTAAGGGCTGTGCATGTTTCACATACAAGTCTCATTGAAATATTGTCAATGAAGCCACTAGACTGATGGTTGGTTGACCAGATGTCCTCACCTTTGAACATGTTTAGAAACATGTAAAAGACCTAAACTGGATTTGTGAATTTTAGCCAGTATGACAGAAATATATGGTACCTTAAGAGTAACGTAACACCAGCCTGAAAATTGCCTGCATTGTCCTCTGCACTCTATTGTAAATGTTAATGCTCCGTATTTGTATAGCGCCTTTCTAGTCTTTTTGACCACTCAAAGCACTTTTACACTACATCTGCATTCACCAGTCACACACTGAGCCTAAGTGCTCAAACCAAACTATCATTCACACACATTCATACACTGGCGGAACAGCCGCCAGGGGCAATTCGGGGTTCAGTATCTTGCCCAAGGACACTTCGACACACACCAGGGGGAGCTGGGGATTGAACCGCCGACCTTCAGATTAACGGCCAAATACAAATACGGAGCATTTACATTTAAAACTCTTGATAAAAGTTATTGGGGAGGGCTAAGCCCCTGATATACTTGCTTTTAACTGCATGTTCGCGTACGCAATGGCTGCCACGCGCATCCTGCGTTCCTCTGGAGCGTAGGTTGTGCACGTCTCCACAAATTAACGCTACACGTAGCGAGATGCAATTCAGCACATGAACGTGGTGCAGTATGTCAACCTGACTGGCAGGTCAGCAGCATCTCCTGTTCCACACACCAGCCCAGGTGGTGGTGGTATGCAGTTGGTTTTCCAACCGCCATTAAACACAAAAGAAGAAGGTGGTCAGCAGCAGACTTTAAAAAAAGGAGATTTATGGCGGGATGTTTACAATAAAACTCCTGGAGCTAGTCTGCAATTAGCGAGATTGTAATGATGTCTCATTAAAATCACAACCTCCTTGAGTGTCGCTATGTTTGGTTTGCTTACGTGCAAATTTGGAGGTTGTCAAGGAAGGATGATCTAGCCCTGATCTGCCCCCTAGTGGATTTACGTTTAAACCTCCAGGTACACGCAAAGCACGCAGGCAAGTATGTGAACAATGCTGTTTGCGTCACAAGCAAAACAACTTCTAGGTTCTTCTGGAGACTGCAGCTACTGGAAAGTGTGGGTTATTCTCACCTCTCTTTTTAAAAGGTTACACTGAACATTGGCACTGGACAGAAACAGTTATCTGATGAATCATCTAATACAAACGTAATTCTTCGGATGGTATGATTTTATCTCTCTTTAACTTTGTCTGCAGGAACAGCGACTGGCCTGACTGGAATCAGTTCTGTCCAACTCGGTCTGATCAGTTGTGATTCCCAAATCATGACTGTAATCTGCCTCTTTTTCCAGTTGAGCCACCAGCCTCTACCTTTGGTAAAATTTGGCTTTGAAGACAAAGGTAGTGTCTGCAAGACTCTGACATTACACATCAGAGTGAAATGATTCCCTCTTTATTCTGATCATACTGGTCAGGATGTGCTCAGGTGTGCTAATGTGTTCTCAGTCCTTACACAAATATACCACACATTGCTAACAGCAAGCCCACAGGGGCTGCCACAGGGACACTGTGTGCACTGTGGGTGTGAAATGAAAGGCAAAATCTGGAGAGGTGTAACACACTCATGGGACGTACGTTAGCAAGCATATTACGGCTTGTGTTGGAAAAAGTGACACAGACACATACACAAACACACACTTCCCAGAAGCCTATCTATACACACAAATCATGTAGCTAAATCCACATGGACATACACAAATGCACAAACACACACACCCATGCACATACATATTTGAGGGTGTATGTGACACACACAGTTCATAAGGCACATTGTGTAAAGTTCTATACAGTTGTATGAACTTTGATCCAAAAAAAAAGCTAATAAAAAAGGTAGGACTTCAGAATTCTTTATTTTCCTCAAATGTACAGTAGAGGCGAGTGTGTGGGACCTTTTAGCAGCAAAAACCCACAGATGCAGACGACAGGAGGTTGTTTTAAGGGCTGAAATATGCATGAGCTGATGAAAAAAGAGCATATTCAACGCAAGTCGAGCTTTTATCTGAAAGAGGATTAGTCACTTCCAAATGCAGAGAGCTTTCATTACACCAAACCACTCTTTCAGCGATGGATTCCAGAGACTGTTTCTCCATAAAGGCAGTAGCCCCTGTTTTTCTGGTGAGTCAAAAGGATAGATGGCTGAGCTAGGGTGAATGAAACTGATGATTTATTATTCATCTGAAGCCACCGTGTTTTCAGCAGCCTCCTTTGATTTGGCAATAGGCCATTAGTCATTAGTCGTTTTGTTGTTCTATCTCCCACTGTTTCATCAAGGTAATGTTAGTGAATAAAATTTTATTCCCAAACGAGCCGCACTGAGCCTTTTATCCTGGTAGAGAAAGAGAGCAGGGCAGCAGAGGAGCAGCTGTTGCACTGCTCTCATTTCCTTCCTCAGGTTTGGTTGATAAATGTGGACCAAACTCAAGATAGACTTATAACCAGGGAAGCATGGCGTGGGTAATGATAACAGATAGCAGTGGAGGAAGCTGAAAAAGGCTTTCCTTATGCAAAACTACAAAATACCATGAACACTAATACAATTTAACACAATCCAACAGCTCTGCATCAAATGCTGCCGCACTGAAGCTTAATGTCCGATTTTTCTTGATACCCTGTCAGAGGGGGTGGATTCAACTCAATATCTGAAGTTTATAGTGTTGTTGTTTTGCACTGCATTATATTGTAAGGTCCATCCATCCATTTTTATATCCATTTGTGCTTCAGGGTCATGGGAGGCTGGAGCCCAGCATGCATTAGGCTAGAGGCAGCACACACTGTGGACAGAGTGGCAGTGTGTCACAAGGTATGACACACATGACGCACATATCACTGGCACGTCCTGACAGTGTAAGGTGTTCGTGCTAATTTGTCCAGGTTTATATACAGGATTGGGAAGTGTTTTGTAATGATTCATTTGATGCAATATTAGGTTTGATTTCAGCGATTCAGCACAATACCAAACCAAAACCTTTGAGGAATACAAACATTCTACAGAATATATTTTTTTCAATTAACAGAATATGCTGATTTCACAAATGTTAAATTATATCTAAATACAATCAGCTGTACAAGAAAATACAATAGTCTAAAAAATGGCAAAATTCTGGTTTCATTTATGATCAAATTAAAAGTTTTTAATTAAATAAGATTATGAAATCTGATGGTGGTTGACAGTTTGATACTGTGCTACAAAAAAACACATTTCAGTTGTTACCCAGCCTGATTCAAATATAAACATGTACACCCTGAAAAATAGGGATACAGGTTTTACAGATTTAGATAGTTTTCCACAAACAACATCCTAACAGGCACATATTGTATGCATAAATGATGCACTGAGCTCCTCTCTCCTCTACTTTCTCTCCCTCTGTATGTAACCTCATCCCATTATTGCATGTTACTAACACAACTTCTCCCCTTTCTGGTAGTCTTGTGCTTTCTCGTCCCTCTCCTCTCTCCTCCTATCACTTCCTGCAGGTTTTCTGGCTCTGGAGCTGTGGAGTCTGGATCTGTGGTTGCTACAACTATTGTTACTAGTCCTGTTGTTATTATTGTTATTATAATCATTAACATTACGACTGTTATCATTAACACTATTATAAATATCTGTACCATTTTTCATTTAGTCTATAGCAACATTACCTTCACTGTCAGTACCTCTGTGTGGATATTGTGTAGGCTGCCTCCCTCCCCTCTCTCTCCTTCCATCCCTCTCTCTCTTTCTCTCTTGCCCTCTCTTTCAATTCAATTCAAATTAGCTTTATTGGCATGAATGTGTAACAACAATATTGCCAAAGCATCATACAAACTACATAAGAATAATCAACCCCATACATTTCATTAAAAAATTAATTAAAGCTTAAAAATTGTAATTAAATAATTAAATAAAACAGTAAGTGTGTGTGTTTGAAAATAAAATAAAATAAATATAATAGTAAGCATGTGTGTGTGTTAAAAAAATTTAAAAATATAAAAAATTTAAATAAAATAAATAACTAAATGAAACAGTAAGCGTGTGTGTGTGTGTGTAAAAAAAAAAATTAAACATTAAAATAAATAGGATTTATCATAACTGCAATTACTTATTTAAATCAAAGCACATTAGCCAGTCTATTAGTGACTCATAATATCTCCAAAGATAGTGTTAAATTATCAAGAATCAACATAGACAAGTGATGAGAAAAGTAGAAGCCATCATCATGTACTGCAACCTAACCTACAGTCCTGTATTAAATTGTACCATTGTTGTTGTTTAAACAATCTGCCATCCTTCCAGGACCTGTACGCCTCCAGGACTCTGAGGTGAGCAGAAAAAATTGTGGCTGACCCCTCCCACCCCAGACACAAAATGTTTTAGACACCCCTCGGGCAGGAGGCTGCAGTCCATCAGGACCAAAGCCTTATGCCACAAGAACAATTTCTTTGTGTCTGCAGTGTCCCTCATCAACAGGGCCCAGGACCCCCAGTGACACTGACTCTCATGCCCCAGGCTCTCCCTTTACAGTACAGTATGCTCATACTGTACATTTGGTCAATGCCATGTAAAAATTTAAACAACCGCCTCACTGTTTCTCAGGGAAATGAAAATTAGTGTCCATATGTTTCTGAATGTGGATCAAACGCCGGGATGCACACGCACTGCAGCACATGCTTTATTGTGAGCATGTGCAAAAGTGTCCTTATAGGCTAATCAATTTGTTTAACAAGGGAGAAAAAAAAAGTCTGCCGGAGATTTATCATACAACTCTTCCAACGGGAGTCCCTCACTTTACCCACTGAGCTAAACATGCACATGAGTACCCAACGGTTTGAAATAATTTAACTGAAATAATGTTCTGGCCCGTCATGTAACGGCTGGAAAAAAATTTGGTCCGATGTCAGACTTATTTGCTGACCCTTGCGCTAGGTCTTTCATTTGGCCCGTCTCAGCTCCAACTCTTTGTCTATTTTTGGATTAGCTGGAGTCAGGGACTGCCAAGATGGCCCTACACATCTTCTCTTCAAAAACCTATGGGTGACGTCGTGGAGACTGCGTCCATGTTTTTTACAGTATATCAGGACCCATGGCTATTTCTCAAAATGATATAGTTGTTCTCATTTACATATTTTTTTGTTTCTTTTGTCAGAATGGAACAAAGACAAACTAGCCTAGTGGCTTAATCGTGGCTGAAATGTCATCCAAGCTGCAGCGCCACATGGTAAACTAAATAGTGTTTTATAATTGTGACAACAGTTGTAAGAGCTTTCTCAACATTTAAAATGAGCGATTACAGAGTTAGAGATTTGGTTTGCTTGTAAACTGATATTAGTTATGCTGTCCTTCACATGTACTTTTTGTTTTAGTCTCTTTTTAACTTCTCTCTAATTTCCAACAGTTGTGTGGTGGAGCTAGCTAGAACTCACCAGTGTCTGTTTTCCGCTTCCTCTAGAAACTGGACCAGGTCACTTTTCTCCAGAGAGAGGTCGCTCGCTTCACGAGACTCATAGGTCAGCTGCACCCGGTAACGACCACTGTCACCCTGCAGAAAGAATCGACTGAGTCCAACTCTGCATTTATTTGAAATTACATTCACATGAAATCCCAGCAGCCGATTACATGAGGTTGACCAAGCAAGAGGACAGAAAAGAGTAAATATTGGATTGGCTTTTACTTGTCGGTGTGGGCTAAACGAACTGAAAGGATGCAGGACAGGTGCTGCGCTGGCCTTCTGTTGGACTAAGTCAGTAATAACTTGCTTGATGTTTGCCTGTCTTAAGTTGTCGACTCGAGCAAAGAGGTTTTACGTATATACGGCTATAAATATTGAGTATATTTTGGCAAACTTACTACATAACACATCGGACATCGGTGACGTTACTGTAAGTGCTTCTGCGTCAGCTGCTGTCTAGCTTTGTTGGCCAGCTTGCCACCCAAGTTTGGTATTGGTATGCTGCTGCTGGAGGAGAGCGCCGCCGCAGCCGGGAGAGAAGGCAACATAACCGGGCTCAGCAGCCTCTATGGACATAACGTTAGCTAATGGAAGAGGCAATGAGACCATAAAGGACATTTACGGAGGAAGCTGAAAAGAGAAAAAGATGTTGGCGAGAGCTACGTGAAATAAAAGGCTGCAAGACAGATGACGAGCTGGCATTCTTTCTAAATAATACTGTAATATTGCTATGTCTTGTGTTGTCACACTTGCTCACACAAAAAAACTAATCTTACATAATAGTGTTTTAAAGTTAGAGAGAGTGGTGACTCTTGTTAAATGATCTACTGTAGCTGGTCATGTCACATCACTTTCGTTGGTTGGAATCTCCCTGTTAAATATTTGTAGCAGAGTCATCATTGAGAATATTATGAAAATATGGATAAAATAAAAACAAACAAACAAATATATATATATATATATATATATATAAATACGGTAATTCATGCTGTAAAAATGAATTCTGTGAAAATGATAATAAATAACAACATAAAGTGACCTTAGTGGTTATATATTATACATAGTATAAATAAATATGAGCAGGTGATAGTGGTGTGGTGAAATCTAGCTATAAAGTTTCATAGTCATGCAGTCCATGCAGAGCTGGTTCTGATGCGAGGAAACCTGCCTGATGGTGCTCTGCTGCTCATCTCATGTCCAGGTTGTAGCTGCAGTTTGTGCACATTAATTAGGCTTCCCCTCAAAACTGTAGGGTTTCTAAGTCTTTGAGTTATGGTAAATTTTGAAGAAATGCAAAAGGTTGTTGAAAAAAGTGAAATCTGGATTTGTTCGTTAAAACTGCAGCCATCAGCTTGTTTGGGAGGTTAAACACCACAACAAGAACATCACACACACTTGATCCAATTAATTATGAACTCAAGTCCAGCATTCACTCTCCTCTTGACTGCTTGCTTATAAAAACATATAAATCAGCATAGCACAGAAAGGGATCAAAAGTAATTTGACAGGATGACTGCAAACTGCCCTCTCCTTGACAGTTTTGCGAAACGATTGACTATTTTAGTTTGTACTGTAATATTGTACAGTGTAGATGAGTATGAAGTTTTGATTACATCAATACACCACAGAAAGTTGGGTGTCTCACTTATTCTTTGCTGTCTGCAAGTTGTATTGAGTTCACAAATTCTCGATTTTTTAAAAAATGGAAATATTTGAATTTGTCATCTATCGCATGATGCAAAATTAAAAAAGAGAGTGTGTGCTTGTGTATGCCACTTACATGCTCAGTTTGTGTGTTGCTTGTGTGCCTGTGTGGCTCTCTACTGTACATCACACAGATTATCATTGGCTTCCACAGCCAGCAGACCTGTGCAGCTATAATTCTCACTGTCTTTCCTCTCTCCTCACTTTCTTCTTAAATGTCAGATGCCCACTGCTAACGAGACACATGTCCACGGGAAATAATTAAGCAGTGAAGCCTCTTTCAGGGGGATCAGAAGGGGATTTAGTAGAAAGGAGTGAAAAGTGAAGGATGAGTGGAGAGCTTTCAAGGGCCGGTGAGTGATTGTAGAAAGCTGACGTGACCCAGCAGAGCCGGAATGAGTCGAGTCGAGCTACATTTTTCATTTGAGTCAAGGTTTCAAATTGTTGGTTGGTCCTGAACTTGTCTTGTTTTAATTCAAAATGATTTGCAACTTTGAGTTTTGTAAAGTTTCACCATTAAATACATTTTAAAACTAGGCCCAGTCATGAGTGTTATATGATATCTGGGTTTGAGCTGCAATCTTGAGTGTTTCCTACATTTTTATTGTTGCCTTCCTCTTCTGAAGAGTTGGAGGACTCCTCTGCACTGGAGGGGATCGTCTCAAAGTCGTCTGCGTCCATAGAAGGGAGACGCCGCTGGACCCAGCCTGACGGGAATCAATACAGATTATTAACCACTGCAATGTACTCATAAACAAGGAGATTACTTTTCCACTTGGCAGAAGATGGTGTTTTTCCTGTTTATTGACAGGACAGCAATGATGCTGTGCAGTTAAGTAATTTGTCTTGTGAAAGCGTGATGAATCTGTTTGCAATAATTGAACCTCTAGCCAACGTTCTCATACAGAAAATGTCTCTGAAAGTAATGTAATTTATAATTATCATTGAGAGTTTGCTGGTCACTGAAACACATTCTTGGAAAATGCCACAAATGTTTAAAACAACATGTTTTCCCTGACAAGCGACCTCTTGTGGTAATCCAAATCATTGGTACAAGTATTGTAATGTTTTCTTAAGAAGGAGGTCATTGTTAATTGGTGGATGGTTTATAGCAGTGGTGGCTGGCCCTTAGAGAGTGCACCAAGTCAGAAAGCCCAATGAACCATTTTTATATTTGATTTTTAAATATACAATAACAATAATAATAATCAGTGTTGGGCAAGCTTGGAAAATGTAGTGAGCTAAGCTACTAGCTTATTTTTGTTACTGATGTATGAGGACTTGTTGACCAAAAGTACACTTATTTGGCTACAGAACTCTTGGACTGTGCTGCACAAGCTGTTTGGAGCTGTTTGGAGAGGGAACTAGTGGTAGCATTCCAGCTGCCTCCATCTAACTCTACTTCTTTAAGATCGATCTATGGGTAGAAATCAATATCTGCAGAAAGAAGATGAAGTTATGGATTAGAAACTATGGAAAGAAGACAATACTAAAACAAACTATATGTTAACACTGAAATCAATTCCACCAAGAAGACAACCACACACAAATGAGTCCTCCTATGTGGTTACCTGGTTGGGAGGTGGATCTAGGGAAAGCTGAGGTGTCACTAGCAGCAGTAGCAGTGCTGCTAATCATGCTCTGACGTTTCCCGACTGCAGCCATAGCACCACGCAAAGTATCTGGAGGGAAGCCAAATGCTTTATACCATACTTTTCATCATGATCGTCCCTTAACATCGTCAACCAAAAGTTAAAACATGAGGGTCGTGATAGATTCAGTGTAATGAGATTCAGTCTTTCTAGTAAAGAGAGCAGTGCAACTCTACTCATGCAGAAATCAACCAAGTAGTCAATGGGCCTAAAAACCAACAAACCCCTCAACACACAAAAACTACAACAAAATATTTTATCTGATTCTCTTTGATGCTCATGCATTTTGAAACGTCACATCACAAATCACAACAAGTCAACACAGCAGGCCAGAAATGGAAAATTCGAAAAGTGAGCAAGCACATATCATCCACAAATACAAAAAGAGGTGCCTAATTAACCAAACAACAGGCTAAAAGGCCCAGCATGCTCGAAGACTGTACATTATATACATGCCCTATTTTTGCATGTCCATATACCTTCATAACCAAAGGGAGTGGGGTCACTCTTTATCTCGTGTCTCTTGCTCTTTATGCTAGCAGAGAGGGGACCTGGCCAGAGGAAATAACATGCAACCACAAGCATAATTAGATACTGACAGCATTACCCACAAACCCCCTTTAGACAACAAGCCCTTCAGACATGAAACCTGCAACATTATCTGTTAAAATAACAGCTTTTTGACACACACACATTATATATATATATATATATACACATATGTTTGTTATGACAGACCATTATGAAAAGAACCACAATCGTATGATAATTGTCACTGTCATCTGGTACACAGAGGTAGCAGTGGCCTACTGGGGAACAGCAATAATGGGAAAGAGTATATCAAGAGAAAACTCTGTTCTCAGTTCTCTTTTACCTGTTGCACAAGTACGTTTTAAAAATGTAGGCCGCTGAACGACTGACTTAATTAATGACCATCATGAGAGTTGGAAGACTTGAGAGTTGTTTGCTGGATATTCTTACTGGCATAAATGGAAGTTGAAGTCTTTACTTTTTGTGAATAAAATAAACAAAATACATTTTTGAGGGTCATCAGGTGTGAAATAAATTATCTTTCTTGGATTAAACGGACTTGATTTTCTTCAGCACAAAAAACATCAACGTCAAATTTTGAATGTTTTGGATTAATTTGCTGCATGTTAAATACCTCCTTCTGTGTATTTAACCTTGTGCATGCTATAGCTGTGTGTTAATATGACAGCATTAAATTGAATCTTTGTTAGTGCATAAAGTGTTTTGTATATACAGTATTACTAGGTCCTATACCTGCTATAACTTTTACAGATATGTTACTCAAGGGCCTTATTCAAATGTGAAACCATCCTGTAAAATGCTAGTACATTTGCAGAGTGCAGTACTTGTCTGAAAAGGGGTCTTTTTCACAGCAGACATTTTGACTCTTCATAGTAGGAAAAGCACAGGCGTTACTAACAACATTAACAATGGCTCGGTTTTCCAAGTTAGCCATGATACACATGAACAGCATGAACAATACAAGGAACCTGAAATTAAAGTGACTAAACAGAATTCAGTCATCATTCATTTTATTATTTACGCCAGCTTTTTCCCTACAGTGAGATGTTAAAATGTCTTTTTCTGGAATAATAAACAAGTTAATTATCCTCAATTTGTAAATGGGATTAACAACACTGAGATTAGGAAAATCAACCCCACCAGGGCCACTTACTAAATCTGCATGATACATACATGTATAAAATAAGGGTACATTGTGGCATACTTATAGTATAGTGCAGCTGTGTGTTTCCTGATATTAGTGCACAAGGGGGATGACATTTCAAAATAAGATGCCAAAAAGCTACAGCCTCATTCCGAGCTGAGCACTTCACAGCCATCATAGCGCTCTCATCAGTCCTATGTTATTGAAAAAGAAAAATACCATAAAAATAAAGAACAAACTGAGTGGGAATAGTTCAAGGGACAACTTCAATAGTTCTTCTCTGGTGTTTTTAATTCCCCTCCTGCCTCTCATCTGTATTCCTGCAGTAAATTGCACTTCTACTGCCACTATGCTACATTCCAAATGTCATCTCATCAAAATTCTTATTCCCTTGCTTCCTTCAAACCCACCTGAACACTGTTTTCTCATCTTTTAATTGGAACACATTTTTCTACCTCAAAATTAACCCTGAATATATCATATAACAATTCTAAGCATTCCTCCTACTGGGACAGCTATGGCTTAGAGGTGGAGTGGGTCGCCCACTAATCTGAAGATGTGCAGTTTGATGCCTGGTGTGGGAGTGTGTGTGTGAGAATGATTCGTTTCTTTGATGGAGCAGTTGACACCTTGCATTGCAGCCTCTGTCATCCGTGTATAAATGGGGTGAATGTGACATGCACTGTAAAGCGCTTTAATCTCTGCTAAGCTGAAAACACCACTGTCACCTAGCAAAGAAATGTTTTGTTTGTATTGGCCTTTCTTTACTTTATAATAATCTGACCAAAGGTCTTCATTTACTCACCATTGTATTCAACACTGCACCACAGAATGAGCCTATCAAGAAATGCAGGGTAATAATTAGCCTTCTACCTGTTGAGCTGCACCACTCTGTGAACAGCATCTGTGCACATTCAGTAGTTGGCTGTGCACCTGACTGTGTAAGAGTACTGAATGTGAACAGAACAGAGAAAGACATAGAGTACAGAGTGTAAAAGCAAGATGTAGCAATAAGGCAAAACGTGGAGGCAGGAATACTTTGGACTAATCAGGTACCTTTTGTGCGTCTCGTAGCGAAGGAGGAGGAGGAGGAGATGAGGTGAGAGAGAAGCGGCGGGCAACCTCTGCCTCCTTAGCAGCAGGCTCTATAGCCGGAGAGGGGTCAGGAAGGAGGAAGAGACGTGGAGAAAGAAAGCGCAAAATGGAGTTAAGGGAGAGGCAATGAAGAAGCAGGGGAGGATGACAGAGAGATGGGGCGTTACATAGAATGCAAATGAAAGGTGACAGCGTAACACAGAATAACACAAGGGAAGATGTTATTGGCTTAATATGCTTCACACCCTTTTGGCGCTAATCTTCACATCAAAACACAAGATTTTAAACCTCTTAATACAATTATAAAGATACTACTACTACTTCTTCTATGTAATAATAATATTAATGATTTATAATAAAATTAATAATAGCAGTTTATCTCCCGAGGACTTATCAAACATTGCAAATTGTTTTAAAAGAGACCTTACAAGTGAAATCCATGAAAAATAACAATGGTTCAAGCAAATGGAAAGAGGAAACAGGAATGCAACAAAATCCTTAAATAAAAACAAAAAAAAACAATACAACACAATGGAGGTGAATAATGTTTCACTTCCTCTGGATAATCCACAAAACACACTGGGAACATTTGTCATCAGACATTGTTTCTATTAAGACACATTCCTGTAATTTTTCAGCGTTCGCACCTCCATTGTATTGGGGTGGACAGATACTTCAAAACCTCTGCATGGCTAGATACTATAAGAAATCCATAATCCATTTGGGCTATTAACATATGTTAGAAGAGGTAAACGACAAATTTCTCATATGTCATGGCTTCAGTACAGGAGCAACATGTCTGCCTGCCCACGTGCTTCAACTACACACTTACGCTTAAAGGGAACCTATTATGCTAATTACCAGAGGCGAGTTCTTTCAGGAGGACGGGGCGGAAACGTGAGTCAGAGATGGAGAGGGGAGTTTGTTGTGTAACACAGAGGAACGGCCAGCAAGCCTTTAGTTCCAAACATCAATCCAACACTACACTATGCACTGCTTATTCAGCTTGTTAGCATCTTGCAGACTCAGCTGATCAGAGCCCCAGAGATTCTGTCCCCTAGCTTCATTGAGATTCAGCCGGCTAGCACAACAGAGACTATGATATTCAGTACCAAAGAGGTACCGCCAGTCCCGCCTGGTTCTCTGTCAGCCGTCCGGCCGACTCCTGCTCTACGTGTCCAGTCGACGGTTGTTCCTGCTCCTGCTCCCTGTGTCCACTTCCTGACTCTGCTGAATATTGTAGAGCTGTGAAACAGTACTTGAGGAACCCCCAAACCTGATCAACAAGTCTGCTGTGGAGGATGCAACATTTTAAGACTTGGGGGAACCTCACCCATATAATAGGTTACTGACGCAGTCAAGAAGCTCAGGTGTGGATGAGATTCACCATGAGATACTAAAGGCCCTGGACATTGTTGGTCTGTCTTGACTGACCTTTACAGTGTCACGTGGAGGTTGAAGACAGTGCCTGTGGTGTGGCAGAGCGCGTGGTGGTTCGCATTTTTAGAAAGGGGGGCCCAAAGGGTGTGCTCCAGTTATTGGGGTATCACACTGCTGTGCCCAACTGGATGCCCAATTATACCTGATGCAACTTAGTGGCTTCAGTGTAAATGACTGGGGTTAAACATCTCGTAAACCTGCCGGCTGAACTCAAGCTCCGTCCCATGGTTGAGTTGGAACGCTGTCACTGTAGAAAAGAGCCAGCCATGGTGTGAACCTGCAAGTCACAGGACGGAGCAGACAGAATGGCCCTTTCAGTCCTTTCTTCAGTGATCTAACATGTTGGGCTTACTGAGCGGCCAACGCAGCAGTGAAGCAAAGGAAGCTGCAGAGAGCACATCAACATCTACCATCGACTCAGCATTCATTATCATCTCATACAGCAGACAGGAGTGTGCATATACTGTATAAATGTTAAGTGTGTATGTATCAATTGTACTTACTGCATGAAGACCAAATATAAATACAATCAGTTCATACTATGGGCCTGATTTACTAAAGATTTGCCTGAGTAAAAACGTGTGCAAACTTGATATCACCAACAAATCAACACATAAGCTGATCTACTAACGGTGTGCACGGAGAATGAAGTCTTTCAAAAGTGCAAGATAGCACCTGTTTATTTGGTACTTTTGCCTTAATGAATATGCAATTTGGGGCGTAACATGAAAATACATTTATTTACTACATGTAATGTGATCTACCAAGCCTAAACACAATTTCATGTGAGTACAACAGCCTCTGTATTTAATATATTTGATACGTTGCGCAGAGATGGCTTCTGTTATTGTTACCAGAAGGAGACACAATCAAAGAAAATGTAGAGAAATTAACATTAGATAATATTATTCTATATCCAGTGTATTGAAATACAATTATTTTAATTTATTTATTCGATGAACTATATGAACAGAATGTCTTTTGTATTCTCTTTTAGCTTTGATAATACTGTTGTATTAACATTTATGCCAATAAAGCAAATTTTGTTTCGACCTGACTTCTTTCACAACCCATTGTAGGTATCGGAGAGGGAATGGGGCTTTGGGGGTACAGGGACAGAGTCATGAGATCTTGGAGCGACCGAGCATCTGCTGGCATTTCCTGGCGTCTGGAACATTCCAGCATACTGTAGCTGTTTCTGCTGGGGTTTCCCAAAGCAGTTTTTCAGGTGTGCTGTCCCAAGTACTTAGTACAATCTCAGACAGGATGGGCAGGTACATATGATTTCCACATACTCGGGACGCACTGAATTAAACAAACTAAGGTTTTCACGCAGTGGCTGCTTACCCTCCCGACTCTCCATGGCAGAGAGCATTAAAACACGCAAAACCCTTATTTAAATACTCCCACCTCCATTGTGTTTGCTCCTGTTGTCATCTACGCAATAATTCTTTTTAAATCACCCATAACAGGTACTAAAATTGCATGTGCAATATTTTAGAATGGACATGCAATTTAGTAGTCTTTATTCGGGACGTTAGTAAATCCGTCCCTGAGTACTACACAAAGTGAAGGCTGATGTCATTACTTGCTAGGATGACATAAATTTAGACCACCATTCCAAAACCACAGGCATGAATCTTGTAACGATTGTGACTCTAATTTCGTGATGCTGATCCACTCTCTCTGCTGGCTACCAGTTACCTGCTGATTACACACACCTGCCTAAGTATACTGCAGTGCATCTACGCTGCCTCGCCAGTTTAACACCAGCAAGCTACATCAACTATTTAGTCAACTTCAGCCACAGCCTGTCCAGTGACATCTCAGCTCTCTTTACAATAAACATCTTTTTATACTTTCAACTGCCTGGTCTGAAGACATTTGGGTCCCATATCTTCTAATCTTAACAAATCTGCTGCTATAACAGGCCTCACCTCTTCTGGTTTCAGGGATTTGCTCCCATTGAGTCACAAGACCATTAGTGAGGTCCAATAATGACGCTGGGTGATAAGGCCTGGCTCCCAGTCTGCATTTCAGGTTATTCAAAAGGTGATGGATGGGCTTGAGGTCAGGGTTTTGTATAGGCCAGTCAAGTTCTTCCCATTAAAATGATAAAAAGTATAGGCTATATAGTCTACATCCTGTACATTTACACTGATTTAATCAGTAAAACAGTCATGTCATACTCACGATTTTACTTTTATAATACACATACTGTTCTCATGCATTTTTTTGTTTTGCTGTTCTTTCATTTGGTGCTAAGCTACTGTCAATTAAACTGGAAATGTACACTAGAGTACATTTATTAAGACAATAGGCACATACGAATTGAATTAACAGCAAACAGCACATTAAAACAGCAGCAGATCAGAAAACAGGGGGGCTTCTTACTAAAATATGGCCAACTATAGTCACAATACAGGAAATTAGTAATAAAGCCTTTCACTAATAAAAGCCTCATTCCAGTAAAGGCCTGCCATTCCACTTGAAATATCATATGTAGTTGGAAGTTTCATAAAAGAACTTTCTACATTTCATTTTCACTTACTTCCCTCATGAGGATTATTGTGGGCTTTGGACATCTTTGCTTGTCTAGTAAACTGACTCCATTACCTGAGCCACCCACCTCACTTGTCTCATTAGGAGCATGTGTGGCTGTAACATGGAAAGCAGAACCTGGAATCAAACTGCATCCTCCTCCACAAATGTTAATACGCTTTCAAATGTCAAGAGAGTTGAATATAAGAAGGTGGCATTTTGTGCAGCGCTGTGCCGCAGAATTTAGCCAAGCCGCTGGCACTGTCACCACTGGCCAGATTCTGAAGCTGACTCTCTTTCTGTGCATCTGTCTGTCTGCAGCCTCCCTGTCTCTTTAACAGTTACCTGTCACACTCTTTCGTAAATCACAGTTTCCTTGTTGTAGTGCGGGGAGATGCATACTGACATGAACATATAAAAGCCGAGGACGGGGAGTAGAGGGAGACTGACAACGAGTTAAACTGATCAACTGAAATGTATCTACTATTTGAGGAAGAAAAGGGAGAGGACAGCAGTAGTTGTGTGACTGGAGAGTGGGGAATGACCTACAAATGACAGAGGCAACATATACGCTGCTGCTGTTCAGGATGATGATGAATATCATTATGATGAAGATGACGACAGCAGTCGTCAACAGATGAAGGAAACAAGGAACAAACAATGAGCTCAAGAGTATTGACAAAGATGCCACTAATGATGATGATGATGATGATGATCAGGAAGAAGGCGGCATAGGCAAGCACTCAATGAATCGCATCATGCTGTTACCTGCTGGAAGAGACCTCCTGTTAGAAAGTCCCTGCAAGGTGAAGCGTTTCCTAGCGTTAGCAGTTGAGTGACCTGATTGGTTGACTGAAGCATCAACTGAGTGGGAAAGCAAGAGGGAGCAGGAATTAGTACAGCAGGAAAAGAAAGAAAGAGTGGGCTTTGAGTGTTGTTTGGAAATGCTCTATATTGGTGTCAACCGTCCCTTACCTTTACCTTCATAGCAGCATTGGGGATTGGGAGAGGATTGTGTGTATGTGTGTGTGTTTGCGCGCATGTGAATGCAGTGTGCAAAGCCAATTCTAATGCTGTGTTTGAAACAGGCTAAATTGCTGTCTCAGAAGGTGTCTAACAGGACAGCGAGGCATCGAGTGCTGTTCTAAATAGCTCGAAAGATCTCTTCCTGTCTCCTAAGATGCCTTCGAACGGCCGGTTTTGAAGGCAGCATCGATGGTGACTTGATGGCCTATCACCCATAAACCATGCGGCTGCGGCAGGAGAAGCTTATGAAAACTGCTCAGGAGGGCGGAAAACAAGCTTTTAGTAGTTTTCTCGCTTCGATTTTTGTAAAGCTAGCGAGAACTAAACACTAACTATCATATTAGGCCGTGACTGTAACCAACCAAGTTTGTTCAGTATGATTTTTGGAGGCGTCTGTTAGCTATTTGGGTAGTTAGCTGATGCTAAGGCTAGCGTCTCTACTGACAGCCAGAAGACTGTGTGCTGACCAAGCGTTGCAGCAAGTGCTGCCCTAGAAAGCTGTTCGAAACCAATTTTAACAGAGATGCCTTCACTTGAAAGTTATGCCTTCTGAGGCAGCTGTCTATTATGGTAGCGAAGCAGCGAGGCAACTGCCTTCCGTTTTGAACACAGCCTAAATTAGAGCAGGGGATGAATGAAGCAAAAATTCCTGAAGAAAGCAGAGAAACTAAGTGTGTACAAGATTACTTACAGCTACTAAGAGGTTCTTTTGAACAAAATATGAGACCCAAATATCAACATAACAAATACATCAATCCACGCTGACTCTATGTTCACAGGTAGAGTCACATTCACACTAGATTGGTTAAATTTGTGAGCAGGAACAAGCTGATGTTGAACTGCCTGTAACTTGGCAGAGGAACTGGCTGTGTCTGTAGATGTCACGACAAAATTGACAGTTTGGCAGCAAAGTTAGGAAGACTGCTTTCTGTCATCTCTAACTTCCTCTGTGATCACTCATTGTAAATGTGGATATAGCTGATCACAGAGCTGTTGTCACTAACCCGTATTAATGTTGTTTTTGTCAGACTACATTGCAATTATAAAATAATGATTTGATCAAAAACAATATTTGTCTTTAAGTTTCAGTATATGTATCCTACATCATAGTATATTATATGCTGCTTCTACAATGATGTCTTCTTATAAATGATCTATAAAATTAAATCACTAGCTTATATTGAAACTGACTGATCAAGCCTCAGTTCCATTGTGAGCTTTCCGGTTTCAGCACCTCAGGATAGCTGTGCAGCTGAAAGGACAGTTTGTGTAAATTCTCTGTAACAAATCGCTTGGTAACAAATGTACATGTATCATATGTACGTTTTGTTAATAGGAAGATAGATAGATAGATGGTGGGTTTAGTGGAAACTTGATGCGCAGCCTGCATGAACTGTCATAGAGTACACATTTACTAGAAGACAATGAGAAAGCAATCTTGACATCTCTCTGATGTCTTTGGTTTCTGTGCCAACTGTAAATAAATTCACCTTATGATCAGACAGAACATCCAGATGCAAAAAAAGAAAAAGAAAAAGAAAAAAAGAAAAAGAAAAAAAGACAAGACATCATGTTGCGCTCAGGTTTCCCTATAGGCCGGGCGTAACATAAGGAAAACATGCAGTCCCCACTTAGCGACTATACTATTATACTAGACTATTTTTATTTACTGCAAACCTCTTTATTCACCAAGGAAGTTTTCCTACTTTATTCTGGTCGGTGTTTACATCCCACCTCATTCCTGTATGATTGGTCCCTGGCTGACCAGATGACTTCCACGGAACACATCCAGACTTTCTGCACATTGTTGGGGACTTTAACAGAGCAAAAATCACTCAAAAACTGCCGAAATACAGACGGCACATTAAGTGTCCCACCAGGCATAAAAACACACTGGACCATCACTAAACCATATCAAGGGCTCTGTCCCCCGTGCAGCTTTGGGACTCATTCACTGTCTGGGGGGTGGTGAGGGCGCATAGATAAGATGCTTGCCTTTGGTGTGGAAGACCTGGATTCCCACTGTAAGACATTCACCATTGTGTCCCTAAGCAAGACACTTTACCCCTAGCTGCTCCTGTGGTCAAGACTGTGAGGAGATGGACCAAAAAGACAAAGCTGGAATTACAAACCCTGCACTGATTATTTAGTATTTCTGAGGCTGCAGCTACAGGCCTATAGCAGATAATCTCACACACACCGGGACATCTTATATATCTGCTTTTGTGAGGACATGTGCATGCCAACTAAATAACTGAACCATTGCAATCATCCAATCAATTCTCTGTACATCCCTCACTGTCTGGTTTGATTGACCATCAAACAGGACAGGGACAGACTACAAGAGACAGTCAAGATCACAGAAAGAAATCATTGTAGACATCTGTCATCACTGCTGCCCCTCCATTCTGGACATCTCCAGATTCAGGAAACATCACTGCAGCCCCTGCACACCCTGAACACACCCTGTTCCAACTTCTCCTCTCTGGTGGCCGCTACAGGTCACTGTACGCCAAAGCAACCAGAAACAATAACAGTTTCTTTCCAGTTATCACTATGATGAAGGGTTTAATCAATTATATACTGTAAATTCTCTCCATGCACGATGTAGTGCGAAGTGCATCTGTTTTATGAATTTCAAAAACACTTGCAAATACTATTAACAATGTGCACTAAGCTAACTGTGAAAAGTGAAGATACTAACTTAAAGGTCCCATATTATGTTAATTTTCATGTTCAGAATTTTACTTTGGGTGTCTAATAGAAAATCTTTACTTACTTTAGTGTTTAAAAACATGTTATTTTTCTCAGCACCTCTATTCTCTCTGTCTCTGTCTGAACCCTCCGTTTGAGCTCCCGTCCTGATGCTGACTTGGGGAACCTGAAGGCTTCACACTTAATGTCCCATCAGTTTACAGTTTATTTCACTTAATCCAGGAGGCAATGGAAGATGTTTGTTACTAAAGAGTTTGTTTGGGTTGGAGTCTAAGGTAACACGTGACCTCTCACCTCTCTTCTGCCTCATGTTAGGGCTAGGGTTGGTCCTCCTGAAGCCTGACTCTGGACTTGATGAATCAGACTGTCTCAGCATCATCTTACGCACAGTCCTGTTGGAGTAGAGGAACAGGTAAAAATGGAATGAGCAAATTGTTAAATGCTAAAGCAGAATCCCTACAACTTAATTTCCCACTATCCTTATGTTCCCCATGAAAATATGTTTATATTGAATCAGCTGATGGCTCACCTCATGGGGGCCCCATAGATGTTGAGCTGGCTGGCTTCTGTGAACACAAGAGAGACATAACATTTTACTGTTCATTCATTGACAACATTGTTTCTTCAGTGCCATAAGGCTCCACAATGTGCCACATGACTATGACGGAAATTATTTATATGTGCATTTTCTAAACGGCCACCAACATGATTAGTGTCTGGTAAAGTCTGGTAAACAACTAAAACTACTTTGTTAAGGTTAGGGAAACATACACTGTTAAAAGAACCAATGTTGAGATTAGATGTGAACTATATATATATATATATAGTCACATATTTAGAAAACAACTTGGAAAATACTATTTTTCAGATGTGCATCAGTTATTAAAGGCTCTGTACTCAATTAAAAGCACGTATGCATATGGTAATAACAGCCATCACATCTAAGCTACTTTCACCAACCAGTATTTTGAGATACCTCATTGTGTTCTGCAGAAAGAATTGGGGAAGAACTGCACACATTTGTTAATGGCTTTGTTGCAGTCCCTCATCTGGTAAATGGACTACACTTATTCAAAGCACTTTATACTACATGTGAAATTCACACATAGTGCAGTAGCTGCCTACAGGAGCAATTTGGGGTTCAGCATCTTGCCCAAGAACACTTGGACTGCAGAGAGGAGCCAGCAACCTTCCGATTAGTGGATGACCCTCATGAGGTAGGGCTCAGCTGACTGAAACTGTCTGAAAGCTCCGCCTCTTCTCAGATGTCTAAACAGACTCTTGTCTGGTATTATTGATGACTGGAAAAAAAAACACAGAAAATCTTTTTTTTTCTTGGAATATTATGTCCCTTCCTGGCATTTTAATGGATTTATTTTTATCTATAATGGCAAACATAATGAATGCATTTCCTTCCATCAACCCCTGACCTCCTCCAGAGTAGACTTTGTCCCTCTAGCACGACGTCACCCAACCTAATTTGCTCCCATCATAATTACTACAGCTGCTAGAGGGCTTTGTCACCTCATTGTAAACAGATGTTGTTTTGGGGCACTTACTGAAATGACTGATGCCATGGTTTTTGGGAGGATAATCTTTAATACAATTATGTAAAATTATTCATGAAACATTGCTTGATTAAAATAAAAACTCTTTGACAATTTGACAAGGCGATGGATGTGCTCAAATGTAATCCTAATGTCTTATTTAAAAAAACACATACATTTTCTTCTTTTTCACAAAAATATAACAAAAAAGACTTTCCACCTCATCTCCCAGCCCTAGCTGGACCCAGTTCAGCACACAGATCCAAGAGCATGGCTCACAGGAATCTAAATCAACGTATTAGCCAGTCATCATCATGGGCCAGAAAATCTTCATGGTCCCTCATGGACACTCTCTAATCCTTCCATTCACGTTGTCCTCTGCAGTGCCATAATGCAGTCATACAGCATTACGCACGATTGTCACGCAGTATGTTTACAGCACAAATATCACTGATGGTTTGAATGTTTGAATGGTAAACTGACAATGTGTGATATGACATGAAATTAAATGTCAGAGGCATCATTATACCAATTGACCCTTCCCTAAGCCCCGCCCCACTTAGTTACTGTTGATAAGTCCAACAAACTGTTGGCGCTGCCACTGTCTATTACTGCACTCCCCAGAGAAATATTGTCCAATTTGTTGGAAAAAGCGATCTCAGAAAGAAGCAGACAGTTTTGCAGTTGCATTGTGCATGTGAAGGTTGTCTTCAGGCTGTCGGACTGACTCAAACTGACTCAAATGGAAGTGAAAAAAAATGAAAGAGAGAAGCTAAAGACTACTGATCACACAGTACAAGTGAATCACCGCATCCCCCGACGATTGAGACAAAAGACAACAATATGAATGATCAACACTGTTCCTGTAAAGCTGGGTAGGCCTCTATTCATTATTACAATCATTAAAAAGCAGAACAGTAGGGCTTTATTACATTACATTCAGTAGGAAGTTAGCTAGTGTTAGCTAACTAACATTAACATTAGGAACAATCCACATCCAACATTTTTCTGGATTTATTTTAGGTTTTGGAAAGAGAATAAATCGTACTTCTCCTTTCAACCTCTCTAGGTAGCAACTGTAACTATTACAGTGCCCCAGAAACAGCGTTTGACCAGATCTTAGAAAAATACAGCCAAAACGACTCTTTTTGCATTAGAGTCAATGGAGCGCATCCATGAAAGTGTCGGACCTCAGTTAGAGCGAGTCCTATACTGACCTGTGATTGGCCAGCTAAGTATTCTGGGCGTGACTTAGCAAAGGGTCAATTCAATTTTATTTTGATATTAAACATCTTATACATACATATACATGATAACATTTTTATGTTGTATCAGCGGACATAATTCTGTTTTTCATAGACTACTTCATAGACAGCACAAAAACTGGAGTGGTGAGTTTCAGTTTACTGACAGAGCCAGACAATAGTTTCTGGATGGTCCGCACATTCTCACGTCACATCAATTTTTATACATCACTCGTCTGCGTGAAAACCAGCGTACATAACGTTTCCGTGTGAAGCAGTGTTTATACAGACACCTGGACTTCTGATTCCCCTGTCGGCTCCTTATTGGATTTGTTCGCTTGTTGGACTGACTCCCTGGTTTTGCCTCTTGCCTGCCTGAACTGAACTTTCTTGTATCTGATTGTTTGTGTATCATGTTTTTGGGTTCAAGTCTGTCTCAAGTCATTACAACGCTAATATTCCAATATCCCACACATCCCTCTCATTCCTTTCTAACGAGTTGTTTCCATGCTTAAAATCTCCCAGACCTCTGCATCAACTCCATAAGCTACTTTCACTGACTTGACAGAATCACTTTGTGGCGCTATAAAGATAGAAAGTCACTGGGAATACAGATTTGGATGTCAAACGATATCTAAATAAGGCTGCATAAATGCAACATTAACAAATCTGGCATGCCACTGGATTCTGCTGTGTGACAAGAAATCTCTAGATGAATCTAGTAAAATAACTGCAGACAGTGAGGCGCAGCCTTGGCCAAATGCATAGCTCACAGAAGTAAAATACCAAGCTGTGAATGATCAGGCTTGTCACCTCCTGTTCCAAGCAACCAATGAACCTGTCGCAGAAATGCAGACTCAGCATGGAGCCATTTCACATGCTCCAAGAATTGTACTTTGCAAAGGGATATTTTTTCATCATGGATCGAACAATGTTTTATTCATAAATCCTGGTCACATTGAGGTCTGCAGCCAATAGTCTGAGAGTAGAACCTTAGCAAGGAGCAGCATTGAGGAGATAGAGGAAATGCTCAAAGGCAGACACAGTGCATTTGTTTGATGCTGGAATGCTGGCTGGCATTGTGTCTTGTTAATATGACACTCACACATCATGCAGTTAATTCACATGCATTAACTTCTTCTTTCAGTTTTCCACTCCACTCTCACTGCTACTTTCTGCATATAGCTGCTTAAATTTGGAAATCTACCTATTCAACCTGGGTGTTGGTACGCACCAAAATTCCAGGGCTCACGTGAGAATATGGAAGCAGATATAGATCTTTTTTTAGTCTTTACTCTAATGTGTCCTTTTTCCATTAGAATTACTGAATAATTTTACCTCCTCAGGCCTCTAAAAACTGTCCCACTGAATTAATGTGAGACAGAAATATTAAGGTTGGGAAACCTTAATATTAACAACTGTAAGAAGTTCCTGTAAGCAACAAATGTACAGTGAATAAACAAAGTACTGCGTCTCCAAAAGTAGAATGGAAGCTAGAGCCTTCAGCTTCAGCTCCTCTCCTGCTGAACCAGGTTCCAGTTTGGGTTCAGGAACCAGACACCATCTCCACATTTAAGAGTAGGCTTAAGACTTGCTTCTTTGATAAAGCTTATAGTTCCCCTGACCCAGCCCTGAACCATCTCTTAGTTAAGCTGCTATAGGCCTAGAATGCTCTGACCAAGTTTGAGTACCAAGCACCATTTCTGTAAACACAGAGGGCCCTATGTTATCTCTCTCTCGCTCTGCTGAGTCTGCACTTACTTTTATCAGTTTATGTTTTTTATAATGCACCATTCATCTGCCATTTAAGTAGGAATGTGGCACCTGCAGGTGCATCCATCTTTTAAAAGGAATTTAATTTATTATTTAATTCATGTTACGCCCAAAACACACTTGTGATTAATTAAGAGGCTTATTCCAACCCCATTCCAACGCCTTTCATTGTGACCAAATTATGCACCTCTATTTGCCAACTACAAAAGGGAGATGGACATGCCCGAAATGCACTTGCACCACTCACAGTACTTGACTGTGTGGAACATGGTCCACCCGCCGAATACACACACACCGAATCCAAAACCCGGATGTGGTGCTTGAAGCCAGGTCTCTGTAAAAACGTGGGCACAACTGTCAGTGATTTCCCATTGCTGAGTTGGCCGGAGTCTTATTTCATCTATTTTTATTTTCCTGCAACATGACATTAGTCAGAAGTAGGCTTTGGATCCAAGCTAGGTTGATCTGGCTGTGTGATGTTGGGTGCAGTGATTGTCTCAAAGTGCACTGCATTCAATCCAATCCCTGCACTTCCTTTTCTGACACCGAGGAGTGTTATTTCTGTCAAAGGTAATACTTGCTTCCTTTGATAATATATGCCGTGCTGTCCATAAAAGAGCCATCTTCACCCCCCTCCATTCAGCCCTCACACATCTTGAAAATAACACCTACATCAGAATGCTGTTTGTCGATTTCAGCTCAGCATTGAGCACAATCTCAACCGTTTGTTTGTGAGGACATTCAACACCCAGTTCCAGAGTATAGTACCCAAGCATAGACAGTTTGGACTGGTGTTCACACCTCCTCCACTCTAGTGTTCAACACCGGAGCCCTCCATGTGCTGTTTGCTCAGCTTGATTTCGTTGTTATTGGTAATAATAACCACACTCAGATGGCGCAACATTACTAAATAGAAGTCCTCAGGGTAGGAAACACGAGTAGTGACCAATTATTATCGATATAACATCCATTGCATACTGACTCATTGGTTCAGCTTTGATCTAATGTACTTGCCATTGGTGTGTGTGAAAAGTTTTAGTGTGCCAGCACTTTGCTCTTTCAATCTGGCTAAACTGTTTGCTATTGATTATCTGACTGTTTCTTGCCCTATCACACGACTTTGGAGTGACCCTAACCCCATAAATGCTTGAACATCATCAACACTTTAAATTAAATTATTATTATTAGATCCAACTTGTAATAAAGTGGAAGTGTGTCTATTCTTTTGAATGAGGATTCTATCTGTACATTTCCTTCTTAGAATTCATCTCTTCCTCCTTTCTCACTTCCTCAACACATTCATACAATCTCACTTTCTCTCTCTCTCTCTCCCTCCAGCACACAATCTCTCCCCCTCCTTTAATGTTTATACCTTGAAGCCTGCCTTCATTCCCTCTGTGCTGCCTTCATCTCAGCCCTCCGAAATCTCTTCTCTCTTTCTTTCTCTTTGTCTCTCTCTACCCATCATTCCATCACCCTCTTCTCTTCTTTACCAACTTCACTCCCTCTCTCTCTCTGTCTTCCCTCTGCCCTCCTCACATGGAGTCAGAGATGTAAATCACTCACACAAACATGCTTGCTGCACTGGACCATCAGAGTCTACTACAGTCTCTGCTCTCCGGGCTTCGTGACAGGGCTGCTGTGTTATTAGTCAGTCTGCTCACTCTCTCTCACACACACACACACACACACACACACACACACAGAAGGGTTTTCAGACAGGCAGTGTGCGGCTCACAGAGGGTGGTTTTCCTGTCAGTCAGGACCATACAGGGGAACTGTGGGCGACTGATGTTTATTGGTAGAATGAGGGCCGAGAGAGGTAGAAAGACACAGGGAGAGAGAGGGGGCTGAAACCAGGGGACAGAGATAAAGAGAAAGGAGTTTGGCTGTGTATGTGATGTGAATATATGTTGGCATATATATGTTTGTGTGCTGCAAGTATTAATACGTTAATCAACAATGTAAATAATTGTTATTATTTTCCCATTCATTGATTAATCTATAAAATAATAATAAATCAGAAATACAACATCAAAAATATATTAAAATGAGAAAATGGTGAGTAATGCTGTGAAGGTTGCGAACGACACCACCACCATCATCGTCCGGATTTCAAACAACAATGAGAGTGCACAGAGAACAACCTACTGCTGAAAGTCAGCAAAACCAAGGAGCTGATCATTGACTTTAGAAGAAAAGGAGGTGCAGACACACACTCCTGTCTACATCAGTGCTCAGAGCTGAGGTGGAGCAGGTGAACAGTTACTGTCATGGTCATCTCTCATCTCCACTCTGGGTAAGAAAGCTCACAAACTGCTGTATTTCTAAAGGAAGCCTAAGAAGGCAAAGTTATTTTTAACTTTTACGGAGGAGCAACAGAAGGAATTCTGACTGGAAACCTCACAATCTGGATGTGCAAGGCCCAGGAGAAGAAGGACAAAAGATCATTGGTACCCATCTACCGAGCATCAGTTATAATGGAGAGGTGACGCAGAGCCCAAAGGATATTAAAGGACAGTACCCACCCCGGCCACAGCCTGTTCATCCTGTTGCCTTCTGGGAAGAGATATAGAAGTTTCAGCTGCCGCACCACCAGACTGCAGAGCAGCTTTTCCCCCCAAGGCTGTGAGACTTCTTAATTCAGCCTCAGCACTCCACTATGTAAAACAGCTTTATTTGTAGGACTTTGTGTATGTTACAACTTAATCTCATTATACAACCCTGTGTTGTAAAATGCTGAATTAATCTACCTTGTGTGTACTCCCTTGACCCATGACTGCATACTAGTACATGTTTCTTATACCATTACTAAGTTTGCAGATGACACAATGGTGACTGGCCTGATCAGCGATAGCAAAGAGTCTGCATACAGGGAGGAGGTCCTGCACCTGGCGGTATGGTGCGCCAACAACTTTGGTATTTTTCTATCTGGAAGTTATTTTCATAATGTTCTTTTTGTGCTGCTATGTCTGACATGCCTTTAAACCTAAGCTCTTGAAATCTTTATAGACTGATGGACAGTAGATCTCTAGTTTTAATTTCAGGTAAATTGGAACAATGACTTTTTATTTCAGATTTTTCTACAATTCAAACTACTTTTAGTGGCTTTAAAAAGGTGGTATTCTGCTTTTTAGCTTTTTCCCCTCTCCTTAGGTTTGCAAAGTGAAAAAACTAAAAGTCCAGCCCAAAGGGAGTTCCCATCTCCCACAGAAAACTCTGCTCTGAACAGCTCGTTTGTAGTCCAGCAAAATGCATATAACGCTCGCCAATCGTCTAGTCCGACGAAGCCTTCAATACACAGGGTGAAAAGAGGAGCTGCAGAAATGTACAGTATGACAAAAATATGGTCCATCCATCCATCCATCCATCCATTGTCAACTGGTTATCCTGCAGGGTTGCGGGTGGCTAGAGCCAATCCCAGCTGACATTGGGCGAAAGGAGGGGTCCACCCTGGACAGGTCGCCAGTCCATCGCAGGGACACACATAGGCAGACAACCACTCACGCTCACACCTAAGGACAATTTATGGTCACCAGTGAACCTAGCCTGCACCCGGAGAGAACCCACACAGACACGGGGAGAACATGCAAAATCCAAAAATATGGTGTTTTTGGAAAATGAAACCACATAAACCTGTTCTGGTATAACCCCTAAATGAAATGATGAGCCTGAAAATGAGCATAATACAACCTCTTAAAGTCGTTAGCAGTAGATTTATTAATAATCCAGGCAGCGATTACATTTCTCAAAACATGATTGGGAGAGCAAATTAGTAGTCAGTAAGCAGTTATGTTTTATAATATAAAAACCATGTTTTTGTTCTGAAGTGTACTTCCCTAAGGTCACTGCTCATAAAAGTTACAACCAAAACGGAAATGTAAATCCATCACTTCTTGTGTGTGTTATTTGGGCTACTGGAGTTGTGCCGGAGTGAATGCTTAGAGCCCCAAATGTACTTTCTTAAACTGATACACTGGAGGTTGAATGACATTTGTGATCAGTAATTGAATCAGCATGACTAAAATTCTTTTTAACTGTTAAAATAGACACTCAATATTGTTGATACAAATCCTAAATATTGTGATGCATTTGTGTCTTACTGACAACTAAAAGAATCCTAATTAGATGGAGTTTGTGTTTGTATGTTACATCTTCTCCGTCTGTAGTTCACAGACAGTATTAGGAAGAGGACATTTCCCTGACTTAGCAGTTGGTACAAGAGAGTGGCAAGCCTATCTCCAGACTGCAGCAAAGGATGACTCCAAGATGTGCTGATAGATACTGGTGTTGACAAGAACAATTTCATGATAACAGAAAGAAACTGAGTTGCTGCAGGAGGAAATATTGATAGAGCCCCAGCATGGGGAAAAAGTGAACCGAATGCTTGCTTTAGATGTACAGTATGCAGACATAGCTGGAGAATTGTGAATATGCATTAGCAGCAACAGCAACTAGTTGAATGTGTGATTAGAAATACAATGTTTCTGTGTACATACCATGTAAGACGTTACATGTTCAGATAAATGGATTCATATAGCTATGTGTCTGGAACCAAAGTAAGTTCTTATATAAGGGGTAAATATTCACAAGGAAGCAGATATTCTCAAGTACATAGGGGTTTGTCTGTGTGTGTGTCTGTGTGTGTACCTCTGCAAGCCTGTAGCTGGCCTGTAAGAACTTTACGAATCTCTGACACCCACATATTTTTCACATCCATGGAAGGAGCCTGGGAAAGAACACACACACATACACACATATCAAGCAACACATAACAAAAACCAACACAACAACACTTATGCTTTTTTTCGGAGTGACAAACTGTGCAGTGGGGGAGTTGTGTGGTGCAACACCGCCCCCAAGAGGAGGATTGTGGAAAAGATCACTGAATCCAGCTTTTCCATATGTTTAAAGTGGATTGACAACATCTTCAAAAGCAGCAGTCAATTGTCTAATAATAGCTGTTTTTTGTACTACTCTTGGCCTTAAAGCTATTTAAATGAAACCATCTAACAGAATAGTTTGTTTCTTTGGTGGAACTGCTAACAACTCAGATATGTAGCATGAGGCCGCAACCAGATATTGTGATATTGTTTTCTGTAAGGTCAAAAGCCAAATGTTAAGGGAACCACTGGATTAACAATGGATTTTAATTTTATAACCTTGTGTTTTTTTATTTAAAAGATTAATCTGTAAAGTAACTATTAACCATCTATCTATAACTACAAATACAATTGCTGTGCAGTAAAAAGTACAATATTCCCTTTGAAATGTAATGGAATATAAATAGACATACCTTAAATGTCAGATGTATCTAAAAAGTTTACTTTAGTACAGTTCCTGAGTAAATTGAATTCATTACATTCTGTCACTGTTCAAAAGTAAAACAGTGTGATCATTACGCCAGCATCAACATACCTGGATGATGTAAACCTCCTCTCTGCCGTTGTACCACACCTCAAACTTCTTGTTGTCACCTTTGACGTTCTCTGTGATCCCCACAGCACTCATCTGGACAGAGACAGTAGGGCAGAGACACTGTGAGATGCCTAAAAGTTCATTAACACAACCCAAAATAACCCAAACACTGAGGCTATCTTTACAGATTAATCTGTTAGAGAATTTCTTGACACTCCACAGATGAATCAATCCCACACACGCAAAACAAATGCACTATTTTGTCCTGCCTGAGTTTGCTAATAAATACAGTTAAAAAATCAAACTATATATGTCTATCTGTCAGTTTTTTCATATCTTGTTCTTGATTCCTAGTCACTGGAGTCCTAACACCCTCCACTCTTAAACAAAATCTTCTGCATTTTATTGAGCTGCCAATGTCAACTACAAATGACCTGAACACACCTTCAGACAGAAACTTGATCTTTTTCGTCACTTGAGGTGACAAAACAGAGTCAAAGCCAATTCTAAAAGCAGGTACGAATGGGAAAGGAGCTGGTCAAATCATACACCAGTTTAAATACTGCATCATTTCATTACTGTTCATGCTCTACTGATGAATGGGGGTGTGCTTTTCAGCACACATGAATGCAATCTTGCCACTGTTCATTACGACTCAGACAAAAATCCAAGCATGATATACTGAGCTGTCTGCTGAACAGAAAGGATAAGTGATTGAATTTCTTTCATACTTGACTTCCTTTGCAACCTGTTTGGGTGGGAATCTGAGGAGCTATTTTCAGCGGCATATGTGGGAGTGAGTCAAAATAATGGTACATTAAGAAACACTTTACCCAGTGCAACACTGCGGCTCTCCGACTGTGTTTTTAATACTTTTGGACAGCAATGGATGTCTATAGTACGGAGGAATAAGATATATCAGGTTTGGATGTACAGACAATACGGATTAATCTACTGTACGCTAGCATAATGCAGACACTCCGAGCGGAACAAGCTGGGACACAGCATGTCTGCAGCTTCAGTGGTCGAGTCCAGAGAAAAGAGAGAGAGCAGGAGTTGCGCTGGGGTTTTGTTAATCAAGTGACATCATACGTCACACTGACCAATGGTAGATTAAAGCTGGGTCCATTGGCTGAGTTTACAGCTAGGTGTAAACTCTTGGAGGATTGCAGAAGACTGAGTTCAATTAAAAAAATTTATTATTGTTATGGTAACGTCATGTCACACCAGGCACCATCTAACGTTCTGCCGTTTTATATTTTCTGTTTACATAACAGCCATGTATGAGTGTGGCTTAAACAATAATCCAAAATATCCATTTGCCAGTGATTTTTACTGCATATCACTGCATCCAGTGATGAAATAAATCCACCTCATAACCATTTTTTAAAACCAGTTTGAATTCAAGTAATTCCAGTTTAGGGAAAGGGCTGACATGCAGCAATCCTTTTAAATTTTGCAGTATTTTTCTGATCAGGCATCTGACAAATAGGGTCTATTATTATTATTATTACAAGCAAATTAGACACATTTTAAAATATCCCACTATTATCATTCTTCTAATGTGCTTCTTTCCAGGATGATGATTGAGTAAAATATTGAAATATTAACAAGTTAGTAACTTTTTATAAAATATTTAGATTAGTTAATAAATGAATCATAGATTAATAGATTAATTAATCAAAAAGAGAATGGTTAGCATCTCCAGTCACCTGTGTGCAAGAGGCATGTGAGCCCTTGTGCGCCTGCACGAGATACACAAAACAGGGTTCCACTCATAGAAAAGCAGCTCAGCAGTGCTAACAGAGGTCAATAACTCGACAGGAACACTCGAATTAACAGTTATTTCAACTTAAGTTCAACTTAAAACACTTCGCCAGCAGACACCATTAAAATGAGCAGTTATGACTTTAGGACTTAGCTGAAAGACAAATTCGGCTACTTAATTGGACTTTCAGACTACTTTAATCACTTTGCCACACACCCACAAACAAAATACCCAACACCTTGCTCAGACACAAGATCTGTAACTGACCTTGAGCGAGTGTTTGAAGCTGTAGGATGGGGTCTTCTCGTGTCCATCCGTAGTCTCCTCTCGTTTCTTACAAAACAGCAGCATCTTGTCGTATAGGAACAGGTGCCTCTGCATGGGCTTAAACCTGGCCAGGTCCTTCACCTGAAATCAGGTCATTTTATCAGGCATTCCACAGTTCAATTAGCATTTTTAATGTTGACAAGTCTCAGTGTATCGTTGTCAAATTAAGTGTGGTAATGTGGTATTATTACTGCAAACAACTGTCAAAGATAACACAATACTGTTTAGCAGGCAGAGAGACTAATTTCAAAGTATATCGACATTCACATCCTAGAATCAAAACATAACTGCACTAAATCTGAGACTCAGATATGTGGAGACACTTTGCTTTTTGCCAAGTGAACAACACTGTGTTATCTTCTTATCTATCGAACTTTCCTTAACATGTCAAAATGTTACCAATCAAACATTATGTTCAGTAAATTGTTGCAAATTAGTAGTTTTAGAGCATGAAATTTTAATTTCAACTGAAAATGCTCAGCAAAAACGTAAGGTACATATGGTTTGTAGTCAAAGAGCTAAAACTTGCAAAAACACTGGTGCGGCTCTTTAAAGCAGTTCCTTTCGACTGGTGCTGTTTGACATGCATGGCATTGTAATATTTCTATTTCTATCTCAGATGATGTAGGGACAATAATGCTACTGGAGTGTAGGGTCGTACCTTGCTGTGGCCTTTCTTGTGGTCGGTCCATACATTAAACGATCCCTGCATCAGCAGCTTCCCAAGTTCACTCAGGTTTCCCTGTGAACATCGACACACAGACGGTCAGACGTTTACAGCACCACTCACTACATAACCTTTTGCATTGCCAACCATTTTATGTGCACAATCCCGCTTCAATTGTGTTGCTAAGATCAAGCAGGGGTTAGGGGGAAATAAAGGAAAATCTGTAAGACATATGTGTAGATAATTTTGTATGTAGAGTATAATGTTTCTACCATTGTCTACAAATGATACAAGCTGAAATGAACCCACTGTTTTAAATAGACCAACTTATTACATTGCACTACAACCTGTACCACAGCTTTTAGCTATGAAATAGCTATATATGATGCTATTCAAAATATTGTATTGACCTGATATGGACTTTTGAAGAGAATGAAAAACACTGACAAAAATGGCACAAAATTCCCAGTGGTCCCCACCTTTGGGCTACTTTGAACAATGACCCCATCGTTTTCCCTTTTCAATGTAACTCTAATATAACCCTGTTCCTGACAACCCTCATGCTTACTACATCAGTGTGCTATGTTAGTGAAGCTGACAGACAGCTATAGTTTGTCAGTGGTCAGTAATTCAGCAGACTGAAAGTCAGTATGAGGCCTCGTTTTGATCTGCTCCTGTATGCCCTTATTAAGTTACTGCTTTGTGCTGTTTTGCAGGTAGGTGTTGTGGAAATCCAAATTATGGGCTCTAATAATAGGTGCGTTTGACTTCATGCAGCGCTGCGCAGCGCTGAATGTGATGCATGCTGGACTTAACATAGAGCATGCTGGTTAGAAACTGTGTCCAACTTCTACCGGAGCTGCAAAACATCACCATTCCACATGACATTAAAACCTTGCGGGAGAAAGGCGGCTTTAGGCGCCAAGTCCGGTATTTTTCGTTGCAAATGCCGCAAGATCAGTCGTTGTACAAAGCTTACAGTAGCTCAGGCAGGTAGAATGTGTTTGACTTGAAGCCACAGTTTTTATACCCCTGCAGTCTCCTGCAGCTCACGTTAGACTATCAAGTCAGAAAAAGCACCTTATGTTATATTCCGAAGCGGCTGAGTCACGTGCAACCCCTAGTGGTGAGAGTGCAATAAAACCTCTGCGAGTACAAACCAATACTTCATCAATACACCTGTTCAACAAGCATAACATGTGGACATTGTCATAGCTGCACTACAATCATTTAAATTAACGTGAACCACCACAGAGTTTCTCTACAGTGTCAGTGAGTGTAGTGAGTCTCACTGTCTCATGTGTTTTGTTTTAACAGAAGAGGAGAGACAGCATCAGAGCAGCAGAGAAGAGAATAGTAGGAGAACAGGTTTTTGGAAGATGAATAAGCAGCATCATCAAGAAAATGATCAGTAGATCTTGGCGGTTTAATTTTAAGTAACTTTAGTAACATACTTTTATGTAGCTCTCATGATAATGAGTAAAATGTTTGTTTTAACATCAGCGCTATATTTTGGGTTTAGGCCTCGCCAACTCTTTTCTAACAGAAAAAAATCTAACAAGTTTGAATTAGACTTGTTACTTTGTTACTAAGTAAACTTTACAATGATAATGTTGTTGAAAGTGAGCTAACATTAGCTTAAAACAAACCATGAACTGCATGCTACCAGTTAACTTTTAGTGCAGTTTAAATTAATGAAAACAACTTACCCAAAATCTCAAGGCTACCACACTAATTTGTCTCCAGGCCGGCTGTTTTCTGTTCAAACAGCAACAGCCACCACTAGTTTTCCCCCACTATAGTTATCTGATAGGACAAATGGAAATAAAACTTTTCTGCTCTGTGTTGAAGTTTGGGTGCACTAGCAGTGTGCCAAACTCTCACTGCCAATAGAAAAGATTTGAAAAAGGGGCCTCTCACTGCAAAAAACGCGCTCTGTCTGATCGCTAACTCATTTGCTAAGTTCTACCTACCGACCTGTGCGGACTCTATGAGCAGAAGTATGTGAAGCTCAAAGGACGGCTTGAAATGATTCTGACTTGCAGTCTGTAAGTATTGCCATTTTTCATGTTGCGTTACTGTTTATTTTGCACATTAGCCTGATGAAGCTGGTGTTAGCATATTCTGTGGTTAATGTAGCACACACTGTCTGGAGCAATGTTAAGTCTGTAGTACTGAGGCACAGTCAAGAGAAATTCTGTTAACATTAAACCTCATTTGAAGCCAATAAAGTTTCCAAAGGAGTAGGCTGGATGTGGGTAATTGTTTTTTCACTGTGCTTTTTGGGTAACTTCATACTGCTCCGTGGCGTTGGCCTGTATGTGTCACATGTGAAAAACAAATGGGCAATCGCATGGCAACATTGTATAACTTTGATTAACACCAAGCCGCTAACTGTGAGACACCAATGTTGCTCCAGAGGCATATATAGCAATTGTAAGTCGCTTTGGATAAAAGCGTCAGCTAAATGAATAAATGTAAATGTAATGCCTAAAAGCTGTAGTGGCCTGTTGGAAAGTGTCAAGACAAGACTAATAGAATCTCTCTGATTCCCAGATGTACTTACATAGCGTTACTGCAATATCAGTACTAGTGACGATACTGCAGCCACGTCACAATTCCAGTGTAAAATATATGAATACTGTCAACAGCCCTAGGTCTCTGCTGTTGCAGTCATATAGTCTGGCATAGCATTACAAACAACACTGACTCTCACTTGGAAACGTTCAGGAACATAAAGATGATGGATGACCCTCATATCATCCATCTGCTTTTGTTGTGAAAATAGATTTCACCGCATACTTCAGGGTGGTGTGTTCTTTAGTTGTGAAACCTTTTAAGAAATTATGCAATTCATGGGACTGAGATGACTAAATGCCAAACTGATTACTTAACTCATCAATTTAAGTTGTTTAGAAACATTGCTGCAGCGTGCAATTTATCTGGGTTAAAATTCTCCCAAAAGTCTTCTTTTTACTTTATTGAGGAAAATTATGATAGATGTTTGTTGTGTCATGTATCTCAGATGAGTCACATGACTCTTTTCTGATTAATATTAAAACAATGCAAACCATGTTGAAGATAACTGTCCACTTTTTTTTAACATATCTCAGCCACAGATTTCAAACACCAATCCACTCATGCATGTTTGAATTCTGCTGTTAGCAGTGCAGCAAATGCTGCAGCGGTGCATGGAGAATCAAACCTGTCACTGCTTTACGAGCGAGAGATGAATACAACTCAAATTAAAGGCTAATAACACTAACAGTTGTTGGCTCAACTTAATATCTAAAGTTGGTCTATTTTCGAGTTTTAATTTATCGTAAGTTTGGTAAACTTAACAAAGAGGTTGAACACTCAGTATAACTTTTTAAACTGAGTTGACACAACCAACTGGCCCCATAGTTAAATAAGGTTTAAAAAAAGTGCAGCTTGCTGCCTTATTTCTTATGTTCAATTTTACAGTGTACAGTACATGATGATGATGATGATGATGATGAAGAAGAAGAATTAATTCTACTGACCTCAAAGCCAGTGATGGCTATCTGGTGCATGGAGTCGTTGACAGACTTGATGATGTTCAGCATGGTTGCTAACGCCTCTTCCAACTCGGCCGTCCCCTCGCCCTTACTGCATTTTAACATCTCCTGGAAGACATTTAGGAGGGAAGGGGTTAGACAGATTGAATAAAGACAGGCAGGATAAAAGAAAAAATAAACAATAGGAAAGAAGTGAGAACAAGACTGATGTAGACAATGAGGCAGGCCCGTAGCTACCAGTGAGGTCACGGGGTCATGGACTCACAATGTCAATATTTGTAAAATTAATGAAGAAGAGAAGAGAAAGAAGGAAGACAGGAGTCCCAGGCAGAGTTTATCATTAACACTGATAGGTTGAGGATGTCACGACTCTACAAGCGGGGAAATGACAGCCTGTGTGTTTGATTTTCATTTCTTGTTTTGAGTGAGTGTGAGGTGCTTTGGTGGGTTTTTGTTTCTCTGGCTCTCTTTCTCGCTCGCTCTTTTTCTCCCTGTCCTTCAGGGCGCAGTTGTGGGCTTGTTCTCATGGTTTGGTGTGACCTTCACAGCTGCAGGCAATCTTTGACTGGCACACCTATCCCCTGCGTATGGTCAGTATAGCTTTTTAAGCCCTGGCTTCACGTCTGTTCCCCGCCAGATTGTTAAATCATGTTTAGAAGGTGACACAACGTCCAGCCAGTATTGAGAGGAACCCGTTTTTGAAACCTGTTCTGCCTGTTGTCGCTAATCCTGTTTCTCTGTTTCTGAATTTTGAAATACTATTGAATTTGTATCGTAATAAGAACATCCAAGTAAGCAACTGTTCTACAAAAATGGAATGCTGACTTCAGAAGAATTTAAATCCTAATATTAAAATCCAGTATATTTGTCTCATGTAAGCAGCTCATTCCTGATGCTATGTTAAATGTTTTGTAAATTTCTGCTGCCTTAATCATTGTTTTGGGAACTCATTGTTTTGGGATTTATGGAGATGGAGTGGTGTCAAAGTTCAGAACACTGGGGGAGTAAACCACCAGTAAGTGCAACACTGTGAGCGTTCCATCTGGGGCTGGTCAAGCTGACTGTCACACACAGAGGAACCTATGAGGAACATCTTTGAAAAATATTTTTATTCAATTATTTGTGGTAACTGCATATCTGCAAGAACTGGCTATTTCTCATTATTGGAACGTGGCTGATATTATTATGACCCATTCTGCCTTACCTGTCTGCTACTTATTAAAATGTTTGGAGTTTCATTACGTCAGAACTTGGGCATGAAATCTGACATTTGAAAATGTCAGTGAAACAATGAACATGACTGGTTGTGTATTTTTCATCCATCCATCCATCATCAACCGCTTATCCTGCGTACAGGGTCGCGGGGGGCTGGAGCTAATCCCAGCTGACATCGGGCAAAAGGCGGGGTACACCCTGGACAGGTCGCCAGTCCATCGCAGGGGTTGTGTATTTTTTGGGTTGCAAAATATTATTTATACAATACATGAGGAAAAGAGATCTTGAAATGTAATATAAAAAAATGAATACTCAATTACGTTATAAATTGTGATTGCAACTAACATAAAGCAAAAGTATGTGAAGTATTTGCATGTAAAAGTTTATTTCTATATTGAAATAAAATTATTATATCCTGGGTGGTCTGATACGAGGTTTGGTTAACTTTAGGGCAAGATCATCTTCATGTTAACATTGACTCTGGACAGTCAGTCAGGTATTCACACACCTGGAGGAAGCAGAATGTGCATGCGTGCAGTGTACCTTGAGCATGAGTTGGTATTTGGTGATCCTTTGGACAGGCTTCAGCAGGTAGGCATCCAGAGACAGTTTGTGATCCAGCTTCTTCTGGCACTCCTATTGTCACAAACACCAAACATTCACACTCAGGAAGGGACACATGCCAGACCTACTTAGAGTTAAAGTTGCAGTGGTTAAAATTTTCATATCAAAACACAAATGGTTACAAGTTACAAAATGGGACAGCAACAGTGTAGATGGCAGTGCTGGCAGGAGATTTAAATACTAGTGTTAGGTTGGTCAGCGTTTTCCTGCTGAATGGTAAGTCTAACATCATAAACAGCGCCACAAGTCAGACAATAAATTTTGTTGCTACTGTATATGGGGAATAAGAAGTTGTCTGATATTGGGTGTATGCGTGTTACCTGAAAGAAGAAGCTGTCTCCACATTGTCTCCAGAGGACTTCAGAGCGGGGTTTATTCTGACAGTACTTCTCATACACCTGAAGTTCTTCTTTCTGACAACACAAAGGGATCTCTGAGTGAAGAGGGGGCCTTAAATATTCTCACCAGTTTCCGGTCAGTCTAGCTGCTGCTCAATCTGCCATCACTGCCTGAGCTGGTAGACCTCATCTACTCATTCTGTGCCTTTCATTAAAAGGCATCATGAAATTAACAGTATCTACTAAATACTGTAGGATTCACTGTATACTAACCATGTTTCCTACAAAATAAGTTTACAAATTACTACTTTGTGCAACTATGTGTTCGAGAAAACATCCTGTAGAAAACATTCTTTTACATTCTTATCCTTATCCTAATGCAATCCAATACAACAGCTTGGCCATAAATTCTACCATCATAAAAATAATAACGTTCAGTTCAGTCACACCGTCAGGGTGGTAATTATTTAGCTAAATGTCTATTATTGAGGTTGTAGTTTGCAGTTGTAATTGACTGCATTATATCGAAAGGTGTTTCTAATACTCTTGCTTCTAAGAATATGGCCACTGAGTGTACCACATTCCGTACACAAGAGCGGCTATTTCCTGTCACTTTTGGTGGGGACAAAAAAAACATCTCCAAATGGGAGATTTTTAGTTGCTGAGGGTGTGAAAAAGGTAGGCAGCGTAGCAGAGCTCTTTACCATTTGAGTACCAAATACACTAACAAGATGCTGACTGACAACAGTGCTTATATTTAATTGTTTTGATCAAACTTATTGCTAGGTAAAACCCAGTAGTTGCTGGATATAAGTAGGGACATGTACCCTCCATTCTAAATTCGACACCTTTGACTGTAGCATTGTAGATATACCCACAAAAGCAAATACTCATTTCATAACCTATTCCTTTAGTCTCTCAGATGTGATGGTATGTGTATTCAGATATTTTACTGTAGTAGTAATATGACTATATATAAAATAGTGAAGTGAAAATACACAAGTATTATCAGTACAATTTACTAAAAGTGGTCAAAAAATATTATATATATTTATTATTATTTATAAGAGAATGTTTCTCATTTTTCTGAAAATGTAGTGGTGTGAAAGTGTAAACTAAAAGTGTAACTAAATGGAAATACAAGCACCTTAAAATTGTACTTAGGTGCAGTACCTGGTAAAGTGTACTATACACCATCACTAAGCTACTCACCCTTTTCAGAAAACAGGTTCCCACCATCTCTGGTTTCTCTGTAAAGTTTTCCAGCTCCCTTAGAAATGTCCTGCAGGTAATTCATGAACAAACAGAATAAGAACACATATATATTTGACCAGCTGGAAGCCAAATTACTTAATGCTTTAAGTGACTAAGTCATTAAACTAGCTTCAACAACTTGGACATCCCTTCAGTCCAGTTGCTGTAGTCATTCATTTGGATTTTGGGTCTTTCGGATTCCAGCTCCACCCGTCTCACACTTTTGTTAAATTCAGCAAAAATTTCCTAATGGTTTTCTAGCTCTGCGTTTTGTGTGCTTTGAAATAAAATCCAGTTTTGCTACACAGCCCTGGCTCTGAAAATAGAAATCAAAAAAGTGATGTGGACCTTGCCACACAACATTGTTTCAGCCTTTCAGCAACAAGTGGCATTAGTGTTCGTGCAGTGGCAGAGAGAGTTCTATACACCGGCACATTGGAACGTGCTGGACCCCTTCACACTTAGAAGAAGGAGAGATGGTTGAGAAACAGCTAAAGAAGAAAAGGTCTGAAGAGTATGAAGGCGTTCCAATGCTGGAGAAACCTCAGAGATTTGAAATTTGGGGGGTGCAGAAGAGAGGGGTGTATTTGTTTGGCAGGGGAGTTTAAAACAATAACCAATCCTTCTAGTGAATCATTTACTCTGCCTTTAAGGAATCAGAATCAGCTTTATTGCCAGGGATGTGTGCACATAGGAGGAATGGATTCTTGCATAATGCTCACGATGTGCTTACTAGTACAATGATACAATAATAATCAAACACAGGCTACAGTATAGAGAACCTATATATACACACTATGAACAAAACAGACAGATTGAGACAATAGTGCAATGAGCAGAGTGCAAAGGATTCAGGAGAAAATTATTATTACCCTTAATGGTGGATATGATATACAGGTGCACATCCACATACAAGCATACATGTACACAGTGTGATGAGTGCAACGAATGCTGGAATAAATAAGTATTATGTGTGGTGTTATGTACATGAGGTAGGTACAGTTCACAATATACAATATGAACAGTGTGAACAGCTCTGAAATAGAGAATGATGAATAACTGGTAAGTGGTAGCCAGTAAACCCGTGGCAGAGTTACTGGTTTATTGCACACGAATGGTTCCTGACATTGTGAGTCAGAGTCAGCTGTTCGTCAGAGTGATGGTTTGTGGGAAGAAACTGTTCCTGAGTCTGTTGGTTTTGGCGTACAGTGCTCTGTAGCGCCTACCAGAGAGGAGAAGCTGGAACAGGTTCTCTCCGGGGTGAGATGGATCATAACTTTGCTCTCCCTAATTGAGTAATGGGGATGCATTTGCTCCACTTGCTCCGTTGCTCAGGCGCCATGAGTGAGATAGCTGGTTTCTCTCTTATTATCCATGCACAATGCTTAAGAACAAATTTGTAAAAAATGGATTAAATAGAGTGACTGTCTGCTCAAATGTAGTCTGGAAATGTCAGCAAGCACAGACGAATAGCCTAGTACCTACAATCAAGGGTGACATAAATCCACAGTTATTTGCATACCACTAGGTAAGTGGGATTTTTCCCGAAGAGGTCAGTTTGGTCAGTGTGTAATAAAAACAACATCTCTGAACTGATTACTCTGCAGTCTGGACACATCCCACACAGACAGTAGTCATGCTAGGTGCAAAGAAACAAAAACTGACAGTGCTGCTAGAGCAAAGGTGAAATAAGATATACACTAGTATGACTAGCGTCTCATATCAGTAAAGATACAGAGCTTATTTATTTGAAGCATTGCACATTTGACACACACAGCAATGATGGTTGATAATGTAAACACTCCCTCTGTATCTAATTATGTAATACAATTTAGTCAGTTTGTACTACATTATCAGTGATCTTGGTTGTAGTCCCAGGGTCACAAAGCACTTTGTATATATGGAACATAAAGCATGCTTTCAACAGCAGGGAGATCATGTGGAAGTCACAGAGATGCACCATCCTGACAGTGTATTTGCCATTCCTCCCATGATTTAAATAACATATTTTAATTGTAATGTTCAATTGCTAGGAAGACTTGAACTCACAGAGGGTGGAACACTAAGGGCCGGATTTACTAACATTTCCTAAATTGCGTGTGCATTCTAAAATATTGCACATTTACACAACAGCTGCAAACACAGTGGAGGTGGCAGTATTTAAATGAGGATTTTGCATGGTTTAATGGTTTCTGCCATGGAGAGTCGGGAGGGGATGCAGCCACTGCGTAAAAATCTTAGTTTGTTTAATTCAGTGCGTCCCGAGTATGTGGAAATCGTCTGTACCTGCACCTCCTGTCTGAGATTGCACTAAGTACTTGGGACAGCACACCTGAAAAACTGCTTTGGGAAACCCCAGCAGAAACAGCTACAGTATGCTGGAATGACCCAGACGCGAGGAAATGCCAGCAGATCGAGCTTCATCCAGCCAGAGGGAACAATCACCGACCGTCCGCACCGTGCTCGGTCGCCCTGCGATCTCCTGTCCCTGTCCCTGTACCCCCGTCGTTACGTCAGTAGTTGATGTTACACATGGCTAATAAACAAGATGTATGGGTTCCACACCAGTAACAAAACCAGTCGCATGAACCTGATGGTCACTGATCTTAGAAAAATGGAGAAAGGTCCTCAGAAATGTGTTTCAAGCGAGCAAGTTGCAGCCATGTCTCCGCACGTTGTGGGAATATCCGGTGTTATACCGAGAATTGCATGCACCTCCAAATAATGCTTTTAAACGCTATAATATTCTTTGTGGGGTTCGGCAATGGTGATAAATCATTCGAAGTATGTATTTTAAGAACGTTTAGAGTTGTTGATATTTCCTTACACAGTAGAGTAGCATTCAGCAAAAATATGCAGTGATAACCCCGTTTGATCAGTGTGCAGAGCAAAGTATCTGAAAAGGACCTTTAAGAGGTAAATGCAGAATTCGGCAGAACAGATGATGAAGGCTACCTGCCGAGATTTGCTTCCTCCTCTTTTCTCAGCACAAATGAGCGTTACCAGCCGCGAATGTGCATGAAATTCTCGGCAGGCATGCAGAACTCTGCACAACTGGGCAAGACGCCGACAGCAGAAACAGTTGATCAGTCGTGAGTTACAAGTTCGCCACGTCAGAACTTATTATCTCCCATTTAGCGCTTTTACTCTTTTTCAAAACTGTTTTGCGAATTTGCGAATTTTTTCGAGTTTTGTCGTTTCCATCAACCTTTTCTAATGCAATACTGTGGTTTTGCACCTTCCTCTCAAATGTATTAAATACAGATGCTGTTGCACTCACATGAAATTGCTTTTAGGCATGTTAGATCACATTGCGTGTAGTAAATAAATGTATTTGCATGTTACCCTCCCATTACTTTTCACAATAAAATTTAAACGCCCCAAATATATTATTATATTCATTAAGGCAAAAGTAGTAAATGAACAACAGGTGCTATCTTGCACTTTTGAAAGACGTCATTCTGGGTGCACCGATAGTAGATCAGCTTACATGCTAATTTGTTGGTGATATCAAGTTTGCACACGTTTTTACTTACAAACCTTTAGTAAAACAGGCCCTAAGTGGACTGACAACAAATATTTATCACTTTACTTTCACCTGCATAATTATATCAAATAAAGGCCATATGTAAATAATAATTTAAAAAAGTGTAAATGTTTAAAACTTAAAAATAAAGAAAAATAAGCAGATACAGTATACTGAAAAAAATGATTTTGTTGACCATTCAACACACAAAAGAACAACACACACCTGACTTTTTACTAAATTATTGCTGCCACTGTAATACGTAACTTCATAGTTGGCTTTTAGATTGACAGAAGAGAGATAGATATGTGCTACCACCTTATCACCTTATGTGACAAGCACATGGTTCTGTCCCTAATCTAGTGTGGAGTGGTTTCTCACTCCTCCATATGCCATTTTATCCTGTGGTCAGCCTTGTTGAAATCAGTGTTTCGTAGATACAGTAGAGTACATGGCAGGGCAATATACAGAATGCATTTCACCTACCTGTTGTGAAATTCATATATCTCTGGCAGATTGCCAAATAGCACATTCCTTTTGTTCTCCAGAGACGGGGGGATGAGGTGGCTGAGTTCTGAGTTATCCAGCTCTGCAAAATAACCCTGGGGAGGAAGGGGAAAATGGTGAAACAATGAAGAAGAAAAAGATAGCAGATTTTGCCATAAATTAACTGGCACGGCACAATGAGAGAAACAGAGATTTTAACCTCTGACTATTTCCAATGTCTAACTCAATCCACAGATTAACACTCATGAATTATAGACTAAGGTGCACTAACACACCATGCACTGTTTCATGTAATCAGTACAGTCAGAATCAGTGCATTCCTGCTGGAGTTTAACCTTATGTGCACATATAAACCAACAGAAAATTGATTAGACCCATTATACCCAGGAGATCAAATCAAGTTCATATACTGATAGAAGTCTGAAGGCAGGAATTATAAGGAAAAGAACAACTCTATCTATCTACCTATCTATCTATCTACCTATCTATCTATCTATCTATCTATCTATCTATCTATCTATCTATTGTAAAGGGAATTCCAAACATATTGCATGTAACCCTGGACTCAGGGAGACTCATCTGTGATGTGGCACTGAATCTGTGTAAACGTAATAGTCAAAATATCTCTGTTCTCTGTGTTATCCAGACTTCAGGGACAATGTGTCTCTGTGGGATGATATGATTGACCCGAAAGCTGGATAAATAACAGGCTCACGGAGCTCTCCTCACTCATTCGAGGATACATGTACACGGCGTATGTGTTTTGCTGTGAGTCCTTCTGCAGAAGACTTGAATAAAATTCACAGAAAGACAAGTGTTTGCCTGAGCTGTTTATTTAAACACGCAATTCCCACCACAATTTTGGCGTTGTCGGCTGGTCACACGCGTGAGAGGACTCGGACATTCGGAGCTGCAGGTGAAAAACCGTACGGCCGGAGTCTGAGACTCTGGGACTTCAAACCTCCCCTCCAAAATACTTGTGAGACATTGAGGGCCTGACACCTGAGTGTCTGAGGCTCCTCACTGCTGTGATCCACAAAGAACCTGGTGGCTGGCAACACTCTCTTTTTGGTGAGTAGACTGTTCAAGTGGAACGATTCTCGCTGCCTCTCAGGGTGCGCGTGACAGACGTGTCAGCAGGGCAGGCCCGGGGCCGCTGTGTGAATCGGCAAAGCTTTGTGTTAAAGGTACTATAGTCAAGAAATCACTGGGGGGCAGTGGATTTCTTATAGGTCTGGGACCTGCTGTTGCACCAGTTCTTTTGGGTCTGGGACCCACAGTAAAGTAGGGGTTTGTGAGTCATAAGACTCTAATAAGAATTTTTTTGGGGAAAAAAAATATATAAATATTTCAGATTATTTTACTTAAGGTTGCTATTCTAGGGGAATACAAAGTAAACATACAGTATTGTTGACTGCTGAATGTGTTTACTACAGATACATGACTGGATTGCATATGAAAAAAAATTGAGTGAGAATTGAAAACAGCCTTGTGTGAATGAACTGCTTCTGAGAAAAAATAAATAAAAAAACTGACAAACCCTGTGAATGTTGAACAAAGGCTTTTTCTAAACAGGATTTCCTAAGACTAGTAGCTTTGTTAACATTTAATAGCAACATGTAAGTATTTAGAGGTAATATCGATTTATTTATTTAATATAGATAGAATGAACTTTTCCCAGGCGCCCGGCTTCAAGGTAAGGTCCTCATACCACAAGACTTAAACAAGCCTCCCAAATTTAAAACAAAAGAGGCACCTAATTCTAAATTTTAAAAGACAAAATAGAAGGTAAATTCTTTATTACTTTCTGGGAATTAAGGGCTATTTATAAAACAACCGAAGGAAAATGGGTTCAAAAAACTAATAAAAAACTAAAAATTAATTACATGACGACTAATTATGGTTTGGGCAGTATTGACCAGCTGGACTTGTGGGTTAAGCAGTGTGGTTTTCCAGCGACTGGCAGCTTCAGCCTGAGACAGTTAGATGCTCTGAGGGTTCAGTTAGAGAAAAAGGAGAGGGAGAGAAAAACCTTTAAAGCTAACTGGGCCGCATATTCAGCATGGCTGAGAGAGGCGAGCCACAGGGGACAGAAAATTACGGGCAGGGACTGACCCCTCTAACAATTCTGCATCTCAGTGTGTCAAACTAGATCCGGACCTGGACTCGGTTCCCCCACGGCCACCTCGTCCAATCCCTGCTCCACCTACTGATCAACCTGCAGCTGGAGCGGAAGCATCAGCTCAGCCACTGTCAAGCGGACAGGCAGTGGAGGAGAAACATGTGGTTAAACCCATCTACCTGCAGGACGAGCTGTGGGAGGGGGAGCAACCACACCACCTTACGGGGAGCCGTCCAGCCCTCGCTGACCTTCATGAAACACACAGCGGTTTGTTAAAGCCGGCTGTGATGGGACCATCACATGACCACCCCATGGGAGGCAACTCTCAGAAACAACTTTCTCACCGGCCTGAGGCCGGAGATCGCTAAGATGGTGAAACGCAACAGTTTGACATGGCAACATGGTCACCTGGAGATTGTTCAAAGACATGTACATGCGGAGGAGTTCCTCCTGGACAAAAAGGATGACAGAGAGCAGCAGAAAAACAGGCTGCAAATGGCACAGCTGCAACAACATCACAGAAAAGGCAGAGGACGGGACAGAGGTCGGGGTCGAGGAGTCAGAGGCAGAGTCCGTGGCAGATCTGATGCTTGTTACATCTGCAAAAAGCAAGGACATTGGGCCCGAGACTGCCCAGAGGCTAACATAGGACAGATGGCTGACTGACTAGCAGGGGGGGAAACCGAGGCCAGGGAAGGAAGGTTTGGAGACTGGAACTGAGATGACAGAGCAACCTGCACATGAATCACATGAGAGCACCCACACAGACACTGACACAGACACACACACATACGTTAAAACAGAAGCAGACATGCAGACTTTGATAAATGAGGCTATTGTGTATCTTGAGCAGAGACAGGAAACTGATAAAATACATGAGGGATATATGCTAAATGGGCTATCAACGGATATGCGCATATCAATGTGGCAGGGAAAGATATCAGATTTCTAGTTGACTCAGGAGCCACAGAATCACTCATTAGAAGTCAAGAATTTCAAACTTCTCCAAAAATGAGCGCTGGAGGTCTCAGGACAGTGGGGGTTTCAGGGAAACCTCTGGTGGAGAGATTCACAGCACCTTTAACATGCGGTGAGGAGATTGAAAAGCATTTCAAACATTCTTTTTTGCTGTCAGACCATTGCCCTGTGAATCTCCTCGCTTGATTTGATGTGTTTGTTGGGCATAATTCTGATTTCCACTCCCAAGGAGGTTGTGGTGGCCAGAATTTCTGACATGGCATCACAGTTTGTTAAACAGAGTCAAAGGGAGTTGCTATGTGATTGTTAGTGGAAGATGCCGCAGCAGTGAACTCAGTTAATCATTCTTTAATCGCGAAAGTCGAGACACTTTTCAATAACACAGACTTCATGTCCCCACAAGAACTGGGCTGCAGGTCACACACACATCTTGGTGCTGATACGACCTTTGAGAAACAATGGTTCAGAAAACATAGAGATAAGAACTCACTGAGACTGAACTGGTTGTATTGGAGCAATAACAGATGTGCTATTTCTGTTGTTGTGAATGACCCACACTGCAAAACTCTGTTTCAGATTCCTAACTCAGTTCCTCATGTCCCTCTGGTCAAAGCTATACATGACAGGTGGGAGGATTTAGGACCCTGGGTGAAAACATGCTGTGAGGCCGGTGGATGGGGAAAGACATCAGATGCAAAATGTTGACTTTCAAAGTCTACAGGTACATTGTAAAATATTTTCTTTGTAGTGAATGAGGTTCTAGGAACAGATTTTCTGATGTCAAATTTGATAACCATGAGATAAAGCCCTCTAAGAGATTTAAAAAAAAGTCATGGCAAACACCTTCCTGATGATGACCATGAAGCTAGCAGATCTAAACTGCAGTCTGTTTTGGGTCATGTGATCACTGCAAAAGGGAAAAAGAAGAGCCCTCTCACCCAAAAGCAAATTGAAGCATTTTAGACCACCCTAAAATGAGAGGCAAAAAAACAGGTAAATTAACTTTTTATGGATGACAGTGCTCACATTAAGGCACCATGGGCAGAAACCGCACATGGGGAAGGCCTGAGATTTTTTGTTGATTTAAAGCTGGCTCTTCAGTCTCCACCGACCCTGGGTCTTCCCGACTGTAACAAACCTTTCACACAGACTGTTGACGAAAAGGGAGGGTACATGACCTCAGTACTACTACAAGACCATGGGGGACGACTGAGACCTGTAGCTTATTTTTCATCCAAACTGGACCAGCAGGGCTGCCAAACTGCCTGAGAGCTGTGGCGGCTGCTGAAAAAGCAGCCATGGCATCACGTGACATTGTGGGTTATTCAGACTTGACATTGCTGGTTCCACATGCTGTGTCAATGATTTTGCTTGAACAAAAAAACATCTCATCGCTCCACAGCCAGGTGGGTGAGATACAAGACCGTGTTGCTTGATATATCTAACATTACTGCACTGTACTGAATCCTGCTACTCTCCTCCCAACTCCAGGTGAAGGACAGCCGCATGATTGTGTTACAGTCATAACAGAAGCCTGCTCTCCAAGGGCAGACTTGCAGGAGACTCCTCTAACAAACCCAGACATGAAGTTGTTTGTGGACGGCTCAGCATCACATGATCCAGCAACTGGTAAACATAGAGCAGGTTTTGCAGTAACTACTAGTAGCTTCAAACTATTCTGCGCAAGCAGCAGAGTTTGCACTGACAGAAGCATGTAAATATGCAAAGGACAAAACTGTAAATATTTTTACAGACAGCCGTTATTCTTGGGGTGTTATTCATGGTTTTGGGAGATTGTGGGCAAACAGGAAGTTTTTAACATCCACAGGCAAACCTATTGCTCATCACACACTGGTTGCTGACCTACTTGATGCTGTGCTGTTGCCCAAAATTATTGCTGTGTGTAACTGTGACACTCACACTAACAATCCTATCTCACAGGGAAATGCCAGAGCTGACCTTGCAGCAAAAGCTGCAGCAAAACACACACTAACCACCCAATGTACTGTTTTACCTGACCCACCATTGACTTCTACTGCTGATTTGCAGGAATTACAGGCGAGAGCAGGTCCATAGGAGAGAGCTGTTTGGAAGAAAGCAGGCTGCACATTTTCTGACAAAGTGTGGTATGGGCCTGATGGGAAGCCGTGCCTGCCTAAGTATCTGTTTCCTTATTATGCTAAGTTGACACACGGTAAAGACCATGTATCATCATAAAAGGGAGTATGACACAGGAACTAAACAGATACTGGTTCACAAAGGGGTTCTACAACTCTCCCAGAAATTTTCTCAAAGTTGCATGATTTGTGCAACTAACAATGTGTGGCGGCTGATTCAGATCTCACAGGTGGCAAACCCACCCCCAGACAAACCATTTGAGCATCTGCAAATGGACTTCATTCAACTGACACTGTCACAGGGGAAGAAATATTGTCTTATCATGGTAGATATGTTCTCTAAATGGGTAGAGGCATTTCTAACATCTAAACAGGATGCAGCAGCAGTTGCAAAAGCTTTGATAAGCCGGATCATTCCTCGCTGGGGAATCCCAACTAAGACCTCCAGTGATAATGGCACACCTTCCATTAGCACAGCACTGAAGAGTGTAGGGGAGGATATGGGGATTGATCTCAGGCAACATTGCGCTTAGCATCCAGCTTGCTGATCGTTTTAATGCACATGAGAAGCCGGATGAGGGGCAGAGGGGGTCTCAGTCCTTTTGAAGTCCTATTTGGCAGACCATTGAACACGGGGATTGGGCCAGCTAGAAGACAACTCCCTGATACCAGCCAATGTGAGGATGAAATGCTGAGATATTGTGCTAATTTGTCCTCTGTGCTTTCTGAAATTCACATGCAGGTCAAAAACACCATCCCAAAAGCTGCCGAAAAGAAACTGCATGATCTGGAGCCAGGGGACTGGATCGTGGTAAAGGACTTAAGGAGAAAGCATTAGTGGGCTCGCAGGTGGACTGGGCCATTTCAGATCCTGCTAACAACAGAAACAGCAGTAAAAGTAGCTGAAAGAGCAACTTGGATTCACGCCACTTACTGCAAACGAGGGCCAAAGCAACCAAAAGGCCTCAGACCAGGTGAAGATGGAGATCAGTGAGTGAGCTGAGCTTTCCCCTGCCTTGTGTTCCTAGGGAGGGAGGGGAGTGGAGGTCTCTGAGATCACCTAGAATCACTAACACTCACCATGGGCACACTGATTACAGGGGTAGGCAAGGTGTCACAACTGATCAGATATGATGCCAGAGATGAACAGAATGGCACTGGACCCGATGCTGGCGACTCAAGGCGGAGTTTGCCACATAATTGGAGCAGACTGTTGTACATACATCCCAGATGTCTCGGACAACATGACTCATGTTGTCTCCCGCCTGAATGATCTACTGCACGAGGAGAAGAGTCAGGACTCGCAGGACTCTGGGGGATGGGACATGTGGTCGTGGCTGACAACAGGCGGATGGAAGAATATGTTGTTTAAAATGTTGACCCCACTGTTTGTCATTCTCGGTGCTTTCCTCCTCCTGACATGCTGTGTGATCCCTTGTGCTAGATCTATGATTGCTACAGCTATTAAATCATCTATGGGTCAGTATATGCAATTACATACTGCACCCACCGATTCGATGGAGTGGATCCCACCTTTCAGTGGGGATGAAAATGAAGTTTAATCTGAATCATTTCTAAGTTTCTTAGCTATATTCTGAATCATTAGTCTTTGCAAATATAATGAAATTCCACATTTTGCATAATTACAAGTGTGTATTGTGTCTTATATTCTCACATTTTTGCATTTCTTACATTATATTTTTATTCCCTTATATTCTTATATTGTCTATTTCTTATATTCTTACCTAATCACCTACTCTGCAAGTAAGGTTAATAATATGTTTGTATTCTTATGTTTGGTTAGCATAAAATGCTAAAAGGGAGTAATGTAATGGGAATTCCAAACATTTTGCATGTAACCCTGGACTCAGGGAGACTCATCTGTGATGTGGCACTGAATCTGTGTAAACGTAACAGTCAAAATATCTCTGTTCTCTGTGGTATCCAGACTTCAGGGACAATGTGTGTGGGATGATATGATTGACCCTAAACCTGGATAAATAACAGGCTCACGGAGCTCTCCTCACTCATTCGAGCATACATGTATGTGTTTTGCTGTGAGTCCTTCTGCAGAAGACTTGAATAAAATTCACAGAAAGACAAGTGTTTGCCTGAACTGTTTATTTAAACACACAATTCCTACCACACTATCTATCTATCTATCTATCTATCTATCTATCTATCTATCTAACATTATATGTAGTGTTCCAGTGGAGATGGATCCATACCAGGTACTATAAGTCAGGATGTCTCAGGTTCTCTTGCTGCTTTATGAGTTGGGAAGATTCTTCTTTGTCAAAAAACATGAAACACCCATTGAATGCCAGATAATGGTAAATAATAAAACTAGCACAAAGGTGTTTTTCTTACTTCATGTGGTTCATGAGTGCTGGGTGTGACCTACCTTTCTTAATCTGATTGGTAGACTTTAGAGAAAACAAAGGTAACGGGCTTTTACTGACAGCTACTGTATGTGTACATACTGTATAGATATGCATATATTTAATTATCAATTTAACCCTAATTCCTATTTTGGACATGTTTAATATTGACTGACAAATAACTGGATCATTAAAGGAAATAAAATAATTCTGGTTAATTACAACTAGGGTCTTACTTGTGTTACTGTTTTAAAGTCTGACAGGAGATATTACAGTCAGACAACTAGACAGGTTTTAAATAATCGACCCATTTAGCCAGATTATCTGAACAACTTTATATGGAGGTAAAACCAAAAGTGATCAAAAATGAAATATCACTAATATTCCCTCAGTTTCTTGTCATGCGAAAACAGCCAGGAGAGAATCTTAACCAATGGCCAAAACTATCAAAATAAGACCCAAGTGGTATGTAACCAGATTGATCCTTCAATTAGTCAACTATTGTTTAACATGCAAAAACAGTATTACAGTCCGAGCAGAGATTGTTTGTTTCACGAGCTTTGCTTCTCAAGCTGCAGAGCAGAGACAAATCCAACTGAACAGTGAACAATTACAAATGTTTTGAATGTAAGTTAGTCATGAAGCAATGTAAAAGACAGCTGGCGCCCCGTACCTCCATGATGCTTTGCAGTTCCTCCACATATAGCCTCTCTGTTTCAATCAGCTCAGTCATGATGTGTCTGCAGAAAAAGAGGAAAGAATAGTGATTTCTAACGCAGAGAAAATGAAACCCTTCTGTCAGACCTTTCCCCCAAAACCATTCATCCATTCATCCATCCATTGCTCTGATGGGGTGTCTTTCCAAGCTGACAAACCAGCAACACAGCCTTTAATGAGTACTCCATCAATTTAGGGGACAGCTGTGGCTTAGAGGCATAGAGGGTCGCCCACTAATCATAAGATCAGTGGAAGAAGATGATCAATCCCCAGCTCCTCTGGTCTGCATGTCAAAATGTGTGTGTGAAGAATGTATGTACAGTCCCCTCCAAAGGTATTGGAACGGTAAGGCAAATTCCTTTGTTTTTGTTGTTCATTAAAGACATTTGGGTTCAAAAGATCAAAAGATGAGTATGAGACAAAGATTTCAGCTTTTATTTCCTGGTATTCACATCTTGATGTGTTCAACTCATGACATATCACCGTTTGTATTAGACCACAGCATTCTTAGGTGAGCAAAAGTATTGGAACAACATTTAATATTTGGTGGCCTAACCCTTGCTTGCAATAACTGCCTCAAGCCTGCGACCCATCGACATCACCAAACTGTTGCATTCTTCATTTGTGATGCTATTCCAGGCTTTTACCACAGCTTCTTTCAGTTCTTGTTTGTTTCGGGGTATTTCTCCCTTCAGTCTCCTCTTAAGGAAGTGAAATGCAGCTCTATTGTGTTATGGTCAGGTGATTGACTTGGCTGGTCTAAAACCTTCCACTTTTTCCTCTGATGAAGTCCTTTGTTTTGTTGGCAGTGTGCTTTGGGTCATTGTCCTGCTGCATGATAAACTTCCTCCCCATTAGTTTCAATGCATTTCTCCGTAAATTGGCAGACAAAATGTTTCTGTCCACTTGTGAATTCATTCTGCTGCTACCATCATCAGTTCCATCATCAATAAATATTACTGAGCCTGTTCCAGAAGCAGCCATGCACGACCAAGCCATGACATTACCTCCACCATGCTTCACAGATGAGCTTGGATGCTTCGGATCATAAGCACTTCCTTTCTTTCTCCACACTTTGGCCTTTCCATCACTTTGCTAGAGATTAATCTTGGTCTCATCAGTCCATAAGATTGTGTTCCAGAACGTTTGCGGCTCATCTCTGTACTTCTTTACTAATTTAATTCTGGCCTTCTGATTCTTCCTGCTGATGAGTGGTTTGCATCTTGTGGTGTGGCCTCTATATTTCTGCTCTCTGAGTCTTCTTCCAACAGTGGATTGTGATACCTTCACCCTGCACTGTGGAGGTTTTTGCTGATGTCACTTCCTGATGTTCTGGGGGTTTTCTTCACAGCTCTCACGTTACTTCTGTCATCAACTACTGTTGTTTTCTTTGGCCGACCTGTTTGACATCTGTTGCTCAGTACACCAGTAGTTTCAATCTTTTTCAGGACATTCCAAATTACTGTGCTTGCTATGTACAATGTTTGTCCAATGGCTCTGGTTGATTTTCCTTCTTTCCTCAGCTTGACAATGCCTTGCTTTTCTCCCATAGACAGCTCTCTGGTCTTCATGTTGGTTTATCTTCTTTAACAGGAAATGTTTGTAGTTTTGCTCACTTGGAAAATGGGTGATATGTCCTCAGTTGTTTAACACATCTAGATGTGAATACCAAGAAATGAGAGCTGAAATTCTGAACTCTTGTCTCATATTTATCTTTTGATCTTTAACCCAAATGTCTTCAGTGAACAACAGAAACAAAGGAACTTTCCTTACCATTCCTATACTTTTGGAGGGAACTTGTTGGGTCAGATGTACGACCAGGCTGGGCCAGTTACTCCTGGTCCCCACCTTCACCAGCTTTATAAACTTTGTCAAAAAATACTCCATTAACTTTCTATTATAGTCAATAAATTTGCAGTCAAAAACTTCTCTGGAGACGGTCAAGAGTCGGTGCAAAAGAGTTTATTCCAAAATTCAAAGTCATTTATTACTGTATTGTTGACTTTCTATATATTTTACTACTGGATAAGTTCACCAATTACATTTCAACTTCAGTCTCACTGTATTTTTTTTTAAAGTTATGCATGCATAATTGGACACACAATTATATTTCTTAAAAAATAAATACAAGAATAACATGTAATGCTGTATCCTTCATTAATGCTTGGTTTCTTACAACAATCTTGATGTTATGGTGGCAATTTTCTGCAATCTGCTTATCATCTCTGATGCGTTTTCGTAAAGCATCTGACGTTTTTTTTGTCATCCACTATCTGACGGGATTTTAGTAAGCCTCTGTCGCTTTTTCTGTCATCATACATTCCTTCAGCAAGCTTAGTCAAAGTTCACACAGGCTGTAATAATCAGAGGTCAGAAGTTGACAATCAAACCCTTAATTAGTAATTAAACATGTTGTCTTTATATCAGTAGACTAAAGTGCAATTTATACTTCTGCGTCAAATCAACGGCGTAGGTGATGGCATAGGCTACGGGGCTACGCCATCGCCTGATGTGCACCTCCTCAGAAATGTAAATACACGTTGAGTCGACACGGACCATAAGCTCTGTGATTGGTCGGCTAGGTAGCCTCGCAATGCCTCCGAATGGACCAGAAGTACCCCGCGCTTTGAAGTAACATTTACTAGCGGCCAAAACGGCGGCTGTAACACATTGAATCAATATATTTGACCGTCACAACACGAGCGAAATGACTCGTTTCGCTATCAGAATGTGATCCATTCGGTCGGTAACATTTGAAAAGGCTACACCCCCATTTACGTTAGCGGAGCACTAAACCGGAAGTTAGCCTGCTCAGCCGGCAAAACTCAACACAGTGGACGCTGTAGCGCTACTGCCGACTAGCGTTTGGGGGTGTAATTGCAGAATGACGGAAACACCTAAGCACAAGTATAAATGCATGGCTACGTGCGTACCTACGCCTAAGGCTACACACGTAGACCCTACGCAGGAGTATAAACGGGCCTTAATACATCAACAGTTCTTCATGTAGTCATAACAACAGTAGATAACAGCAGAACGAGGCATGCACTTGTCACAGCAGATTTTGAACACCTGCAGCCTCTCCTGCAGTCATAAATCTACAGTAGATAACAGTTGAACAAGGCGTGCATGGTCTCGGTGTCTGCAGTCAATGCTCCCACTCAAGGATCTTAACCACAGTGAGCTTGTTTCTACAGTTCAGAATTTGTAGGTAAAGACAAGGCACATCCAGGTAAAAAGATTAAAAAGTAAAGCTTATTAATAAACTGACTAAGAATGATTAATGATTAATACTAATTAAGGATAATAAAATGATTAAAAATTATGAATTAAGGATAATCACTGATGACTGTTTCTTGACTGTTTCTCTGCACTGTTCCCCCTCTCTGTGTCCTAGGCATGGCTTCTGCTGATCATGCTATTTTAACCATAACCGGACTTTGTGGAATAAGCTGGTGTCTTTTGTGTTGTGTGCTGGAGACATGACATTCTTACTGTGATGGACTATATGCATGTTTTGTAACACAATTTTCACTAATTCTGCTTCTACATTTTCCTTTGCTGGTGTTTTTGATGATGCCTTGATGATCTCACTGTGCTACTGCTGAGCCGTTTTAACACTGTGATCCTAACTTTACACTATAAAATAACACTTTAAATGATGACAATGTAGACCACCATCGCTCGTGTAATTAATGACAACAATTTAGGCTATAATGCTCTAAAATAATTCACAACAGACTGTAGTTTATATCATTGTTGCTGAAAAAAAAGTGAAGACACACACTCCTGTCTATCGGTGGAGCAGGTTCAACATCAAAGAGAACCTGAAAGGGTCATCTCACATCTTCACGCTGGTGAACGGCTGAAAAGCCCAAATTCCTGTGGCTTCCTGACTGGAAACGTAACTAACTGGCATGGGATGTGCACGGCCCAGGATCGGAGGGCTCTGCAGGTGATTAAAACTGCTCAGAAGATCATTGGTACCCATCTCCTGAGCATCAGTGATATCGGTGAAGTGCCTGCACAAAGGATACCAAAAGACTAACCCACCCAGCCACAGCCTGTTCACCCTGCTGCAGTCTGGCAAGAGATACAGAAGTATCTGCTTTCACACCACCAGACCGCAGAGCAGCTTATTCCCTCAGGCTGTGAGACTCCTTAATTCATCCTCAGCACTGTACCCTGTAAAATAGTTCTATTTCTGTTATAATTTTTGTAATGTTCTCTATGTGTGAGTAGCATAAAGGGAAGTACTAACTTCATCTCATTATATAACCCTTTGTTGTAAAATGACCTGGGGTTGTTCAGTCCCAGTTGCACACAATAAGCTATTAGGACAAGTATCTATCTGTTATCCTTGTAGTAATTGTCATGTTTGTTTCAACAGCCTTGTATTATATGATATTATTATAGATATTATAATCTTGCTTTTTGCATATGGAAATATGAATTATGAAGTATGAATAATACCAGAGCTATTTTGCATAGTTTTCCATTTTTCAAAAGGGCTTTTTTTCTCATATTACTATTTGATTAACGAGTCTGTTTCTTTACAACATTCAGCACGTGGGAGGAGAACCCAGGTCTGTTTGCTATTTAGAAAGTGCAGCTGCTGTCCTGTATCTGTGGGTAAGCAAGTAGTATTCATTCATACGAAACTGAAATTCCTCCAATGTGAATAAATAAATTTAAACACTGTCTAAAAGGAAGCACAGATAGAAGGGGGAGGGATAAAATGAAGGGGAGGTAAAGAGGTCTCCTCCTGCTGCCCAATGGTTCTTTCCCCATGCCAATCGCTCTCTCTCTCTCTCTCTCTCTCTTTGGAAAATCAAAGCAGACACTGAAGCTACTACTGGTACTACTACAACAGACAGGGGGAAAAGTGAGAGGAAATAGAAGAGGAGAAGAGGAAATTGTGAATGGCATCGAGCAGAGATAAGATAAAAGAAGTGAAGCAGTTGGAAGAGTTACGTAGCAAAGTATCACAGAGAGAATTAGTTTACAGAAGCTGAGCAGAGCAGAGTAGGAGGGTTTTCTACCTTACATATGGATTGGAGTCAAAATGGTAAGTCAGGAACACAGTGTGTTTGTGTGTGTTTGTGTGCTGAAGGGTGTTGCTCTAAATTAAGTCTATAAGACCTTCCAGTGTTCAGAGATAAAGGTGTCAGCTTGCAGTACTGAGTTTGGGAAAAAAAAGTTGGATGTGTGATGATGAAGGCAGACAAGTAAATAGTCCCAGCACTCAAAGCGCTTTTTCACTTGGAAGTGGCTGAATCAGGCACCGACTGAGCAGGCTAGGCAAACAAGGGAACACTGAGCAAACAGGATGTTCTAACAAAACTTTTAAGAACTCACAGGACAGATGTCCTTATATATTTTTTGAATATGTTGTCATTATAATTATCTTTGGCTTCAAATAAAAGGGTTTACACAATGATAGCTCAACTTATATCAAGGACATTGGAGCAAAATAGCTTGCTTTCAGAGAGAAAAGCAACTTTCTTTCATGAGTTCATCTGGAGCACGGGATGCTGTTTGTGTTTAAATCTAAGCTCTAGATCTTTTAAACTGATGCATTGCCAGGTTTCCACTCTGTTCTACGATACAGTAGTGTTACTGTAGGTCAGAGCCAACTATTATGGTGCTTTCAGACCAAAAGCGAAGCGAGCGTTCGGGACGGTAAGTTAACATACAAAGTCAATGCAAAGACACGTAGAGCCGCGTTTTCCGAAGGGGGCGGTGCCAGTGACGCAGACAGGGAGACAGCTTCACACAACAACTCAGGTAAACCCTTGATAACGTTAAATTTATCTTTCACTGGAGGCTCAGCAATAGCAACACAGCTACATGTATTAGATGGTAACGAAACGGTTAGTGAGCTAGACTGAATAACAAGATTGGGTCCACACTTTATGAAAGTCAGACCGCAGTAAGTAACGTTACTGTAATGTTAGTGGATGGGTCTTCCTCTGTGTTGTTTGTTGCAGTAGCCTGTTGTATACTATGTGGGTCACGTTAGTTACAGCGACTGAGACAGTGGAGAAACTGTGTACCTGAGTATTGGTAAAACTACACTAAATCTATATTGAACGTTACAAAGCAAACTGCAGCAGGCCCAAGCTAATTAGCGTTAGCTAGCTGCCTTGCCTTGCATCACTATAGGCTAAGAAACAAACCGCTCCACATTTGCTTTGTAAAATTAGGTTACATCCTTTCTTGCTGGCTAAAATCACTTTAATACACACACTTTAATAATAGATAGATAGATAGTAATGTGGATCACATTAGCTGGTGAAGTAATGTGGAAAACGATACAACTACAACCGGATAGTGTTATCAACTGCTAAAATTAAATACAGTTAATGTTAAGCCAACTGACTCATTCATTTGAATACATGTTCTGTTTTATGTGTGAGGAGAGGTTTTTCACAGTTCATTTCAGTTCAGTGTGCTTTATTGACATTAATATTCCATTTAAACAATGTTGCAACAAAATGAAAATGATGATATTAAATTCAGTTTTGTTTATATAGCACCAAATCACAACAACAGTTATGTCAGAGTGCTTTTCATAAATGAGCAGATCTAGATTACATCTAGATCTGACATAACAAGATTAATCCAATCAAGACCATTCAACTTTTTCCCTAATAATTGTGTATGTATATATTACACTATGTAAAAAGCTTATTTCAGGTCATACTTGATGTTCAGTGTGTGTCAGGGATTTTGTTTTTGGTGACATCTTACTATTACTAACCCAAATTCAGTGCTGTTTCAAGCCACTTTGGATGGCACATTTCATCTCTCCATTGTCTCATTTGCCTTTTCTTAGCATGCAAATGTTTTAGAATGCAAACTTTCAGACAAATGCAAACACTCACTGGTTCACTGTTCAGTGGTTGACATGCAGTAAATAACTCTAAAATGAATATCCATTGTATACCAGAACAAACCTATTGGTGAAATGCATACCATCCTGTTTATTATAGATTGATTATATTTCCCATGCCTATTCCACTCAAATGAAGTAAGGGTGTTGGTTACACCGTTGTAGGAACTTGTGCTTTCAATCAAACCTTTTAGGACGCAGGTGTGTGGTAACACCAGATATTTAATATGACACTTGACATGAATTGTGGCATCCTGCTTATAACGTGCAAGAGGGCACTTTATCATCTGACAACACAAGCCTGACTTCATTAATCCTAATAGGAGAAGACTGGGATTCATTTTTTAATTGGGCCTTATGTTTGTATGTTTTAATTTTTTTAAATTAAAATCCATCAGAGTGTACAGAGGCACTTCGGCTGTGACCTGTACAGGGGTATGTGCCCCCCAGTAGGTTATCTGTACAACCAGGTGGGTACAATGTTACAAGTGAATAAATGTTGGCCAAAACTACAACATATATCTACAGTTGTTAAACCAGAATACTTTGGAATGAACTCCAACTTCCATCTCCAAATCTCAATTTTCGCAACGTTCTTCATGAAATAATCACATGGTTCCCTTGGAATTTGGGTGAGGACTTTCTATTACAGAAAAGATTAGACTGTAGACATTATTCATACATGTCTCAGACCTGTTACCAGAGTTATCAGGGCTAACAGACAGACTGTATTATTAAACTCACATTAAATAAACATGTGTGACTCTGCCAAAACAAGTATGATACACAGCATATTGGTTAGTTAAGTGCTCTAATTTGCTGGGTAGATAGCACATGTCATCAAGAGGTGGAAAGTGTACTAAAATATTGTACTTAAGTAAAAGTACTGTTACACCAATGGATTTTTACTTACTGCAAATAAAGTTACTGGTATAAAAATCTACTAAATTAAAAGGAAAAAGTAGCTAATTTAAAATTTACTCTGAGTAAACGTTACTTAGTTACTTTTTTAACCTCATAAATAACTTATATATACTGATTTAATATCTTATTAATAGGCCTTCTTATTATACTTATTTAATTAAATCGCAATCTTTTGCGATTTGATAAAGCACAAAGCCAGATTTGTTTGTTGTTGTTTTGACAGACACAAAGCAATGGTGCAAAACAATTTTTGAGACCTTTTGTGTTATCATGAGAAGTGTTGTGAATGTTTTTGCTTCATTATAAAACTGGAAGATTAGACTGTGGTGGGCCGCACTGGGCTGGGAAAATGGGATCACTGGACCTATATGAAGTCATATCCCTATTTAGGCTACAGGCGGTAAAATTAAATGGGACTTCATAGGCATAGCATAATTCATTTTTTATTAACGTAGGCCTAAGCAAAATTAACTATTTACATGCACCGATGTCTTTTTGGCTAATTTAAGCAAAGCCTCTTACCAAACTATGAAAACTTTTTACCCACTACCTGTGGTACAAACTACAGGGGAGCTTAGCTCCTCTTAATAAGACATGACATGCTATTTTTACAATTAGTTTCTAAGGCTACGTTCAGACTGCAGGCCTTAATTCTGATTTTTTTCCCAGATCTGATTTTTTTGTTTGACAGTTCACATTACAGTTTAAATGTGGCCCATATCAGACTCCAGTGTGAACTATCCACGGCCTGAAAGTGACCCGCAGGAGCAGAAGAATAACACGCAGAAGTGCAGAAGGAAACAGAGCGACAGAGGTTAGCTCCTGTTAGCTCCTACTTGCTAACCTCATTCCTCCCACTGGTCACATTTCTCCCGAATTATGACGTGTTCACAACTTTCTGTCCTTTTCATTATGGTTTCTCACGCTGTACAACGCAACTACCCCACAACTCACTCCCTCTCTCTCCCTCCCCCCGATGTCATCAGATTTCATCTGTTCTCTCTGCTCCAAGCCACAGAGGAAAGGTTACCGCTGTTTACCATTTGCATACATTCAAAACTGCTCATTTACAAGGGAGCCATAAACAAAGGCCACACAGACTGTGTAATAGCCTGGTCATCCCTACTGTTTAAGAGACTTGTTCAAAATCTATTTCCACTTCCTGTAATTTAAACGTAGTAAGGTAAACTCAAATGCATTGTCTGCTGCCTTGTAGGGGAAACAAGTTGGTTGGATGATCTCGGCTTTTCAGTGACTAAAACCTGCTTGGTGTCAAATATCAACACCTGAGCATTGATGTCCATTAATGTGTGCAACACAAATAATGTTCTCTCTAATGAATCACATTGCAGATCTCTAGAAAGAGTCTCAAATTTTAAGCTGCCCCACTTTAATTATTGAAAGTGGGGTCCATGGCCTATCTCCTGCATGGACACTGAAAACAGTGTTCCATTTACTTTTTTATTTTATTTAACCTTAATTTCAACAGAAAGCTCTCATTGAGATACAGTCACTTTTACATCGTAGTCCGGTACAGTAGTATAGTAAAACAACAATTTTTCAGCCTTAAGTTGAAATACAATACACCACGTAATACAAAAGTTAAACTAAGGTGCAATACGAATTAACGACAACATGACAATATTGTACTCATTTGGCATCCAATTGTCCAATCCATTTATACAAAAAGAAATTATTAAATAAATTATATGAACCAGCCTGGAGAAGTACAACTCCAGCTTAACCGTCTTGTGCTATCAGATTAGCTTTGCTAACTAGACCAGCATTAATTATACTGTATGTGGTATCTTAACCACTTTGATATGTACTGTATATAAAATGTATTAAACAACCACTAGTTTCCGGCCAAAGGATCGAGTTGGGTCTACCTAGGGTCTACGTGCGTAGCTATGTCGGTGTGTCCATCATTCTGCAATTACACCCCCAAAAGCTAGTCAGCAGTAACGCTACAGCGTCCACTGTGTTAACTTTTGCCGGCCGAGCAGGCTAACTTCCGGTTTAGCGCTCTGCTAACGTGAATGGGGGTAAAGTTGTATATGTGCGGCGTGGTATAGCCTTTTGAAATGTTACCAACCGAATGGATCACATTCTGATAGTAAAATGAGTTGGGTTGCGACGGTCAAATCGATTGGTCCACCGTGTTACAGCCGCCGTTTTAGCTGCTAGTAAAATTTACTACAAAGCACGGGGCAATTCCGGTTGGCTCGGAGGCATTGCGAGGCTTCCCA